ACATAGTGAGACCCCATCTCTACAAAAAATAGAAAAAGTTAGGTGTGGTGGTGCACACCTGTGGTCCCAGCTACTGGAGAGACTGAGGCAGGAGGATCACTTGAACCCAGGAGTTTGAGGTTACAGTGAGCTGTGATGATGCCACTGCACTCCAGCTTGGGTGACAGAACAAGACCCTGTCTCAAAAAAAAAAAAAAAAAATCTTCACTAAGATACATTATAATCAAATTCTCAAAAGTCAAAGGCAAAAAGGAAATTCTGAAAGCAGCAAGAGAAAAGCAATTTATGACCCTACAAGACTGTCAGTGGATTTCTCAGCATAATCCTTGCAGGCCAGGAGGGAATGGGATGATATATTCAAAGTACTGAAAGAAAACTGCCAACCAAGAATATTATACCCATCAAGGTTGTCCTGCAGACATGAAAGACAGATAAAGACTGTCCCAGATAAAAGCTGTGGGAGTTCATCACCACTAGACCTACTTTACAAGAAATTCTAAAAAAGTTCTTCAAGTTGAAATAAAAGGATGCTAACTAACAGCATGAAAACATAGGAAAGTCTAAAACTCACTGTACAGGTAAAAATACAGTCAAATTCAGAATATGCTAATACTGCAATGGTGGTATGTAAATTACTTTTAACTCTAGGATAAAAGTTCAAAGACAAAGGTATTAAAATAATTATAGCTACAAGAATTTGTTAATGGATACACAATTGTAACATTGTAACATCAATATAAAATAGGAGGAGAAGTTAAAGTGTAGTATTTCAGTATATGGCCAAAGTTTTTATCAACTTAAAACAGAGTAATATAAGATGTTTTATGTACACATCATGGTAACCACAAAACAAAAACCTGTGATATATACACAAAAGATAAAGAGAAACGGATCCAAGGGTACTACTATCATAAAAAAAGATTGTCACATCATAAAGGAAGATAGCAAGAGGGGAAGAAAGTGTCAATGGAAAAAAAGCCAAACTCTATAAAACAATTTTAAAGAGATTTACTCTGAGCCAAATTTGAGGACCATGACCAGGAGCCACACCCAAGAAGCCTTGAGCAAGTGGACTCGGTATGGCTGAGTTACAGTTTGGTTTTATACATTTCAGGGAGACAGGGGTTACAGGTAAAGTCATAAATCAATTATGTGGGAGGCATACATTGGTTCGGCCCGAAAAGGTGGGCCACTTCTAAGCGGGGCCTTACAGGTCATAGGTGGGTTTGAAGATTCTTTGGCTTGTAATTTGTTAAAGACATGAAGCTTTGGGCTTGGAATGTTTTAAGATAATGAGATCTGTTAATCAGAGACCAGCCACAAGACACAGATTTGTTGTGTAAATTGAGGACCTGCAGGTTTGTCTTGCAGACCCTTAGGCCTGTTAATGGGTTATAAAGGATGTCCCCAAGAAGAAAGGGGGGAAGCATGATGAGGCATGTCTTGTCTGACCTCCCTCCACCTGGCAGACAATTTAGTTTTAGGATATTCCTTTGGCCACCAGGGAGTCCATTCAGTCAGCCAGTGGAGGTTGAGCCTTAAGATTTTATTTTAGTTGACAAAAGCAGCAAAGGAACAAAAAAGCAGCCAGAAGATAATTTTGATATGGCAGCAGTAAGTCCTTACCTATCAATAATTACTTTAAATGTAAATGGATTAAACTTTTCAATCAAAAGATGTAAATGGCCAAATGGATTTAAAAAAGAAAAAACAAGATCTAACTCTATGCTACCTACAAGAGACTCACCTTAGCTTTAAGGATTCACACAGGCTGTAAATGAAGGGATGTAAAAAGATATTCCATGCAAATGCTAACCAAAAGAGAACAGAGGTGGCTATACTAATATCAGATAAAATAGACTTTAAGTCAATAACTGTCACAGAAATAAAAAAGATTACTATATAATTGTAAAGGAGTAGATCTATCAAGAGGAAATAACAATTGTAAATGTACATGCACCCAACATCAAAGTACCTAAATATAAAGCAAATACAGCATAGTCAAGGAAGAGATAGCAGTATGGCAATAGCAGAGAATTCAGTACTTCCTTGTCAACCATGGATAGATCATCCAGACAGAAAATCAACAAGGAAACAGTGGACTTAACATTACAGACCAAATGGACCTAGCAGACGTTTACAGAACCTTCCCTTCAGCAGCAGCAGAATGCACATTCATGTGTACACCCAGCATTCTCCAGCACAGATCATACGTTATGCCACAAAAAAAGTTCTAACAAATTTAGGAATATTGAAATCATATCAAGTATCTTTTCCAACCTCAATAGTATGAAACTAGAAATCAATAACAGGAGGAAAAATTGGAAAAGCAACAAATATGTGGAAATTAAACAACACACTCTTAAAACAGCCAATGGGCCAAAGAAGAAATCAAAAGGGAAATCAGAAAGTATCTTGAGACAAATGAAAATGGAAACAACATTGCAAAAGGGAAGTTTGTAAAGAAAGTGTGTTGTACATCCACAGAATGCAGTACTATTCAGCCTTACAGAAGAGGGAAATCCTATCATTTGCAGCAACATAGATGAACCTGAAGGACATAATGCTAAGTGAAATGAGCCAGCCACAGAAAAGCAGATACTGGGTGATCCTACTTACCTGTGGACTCTGACACAGCCAGACTCAGAGGCCGCGCATAGAATAAATGGTGTTCACCATGGCTGGCGGGTGGGGGAACTGGGGTGCTGTTGGTCAAAGGGTATAAAGTTTCTCTCAGGCAGATTCAATAAGTCTGGAAAGCTAAGTGACTGCACGGAGTGAATGAATGCAGTATGAGATAGTACAGAGTTATCCTGATGTTTTTCATAACATTTTCTCCCATAAAAATCATAATATTTGCATGGCACACTGGGGTAGAACCTGTGACTAACGTTAATACAGCATTAATACTAACATTAATACATCTATACAGCACAGTGACTAACATTAATAATGTATACTTGAAATTTGCAAGAAGAATACATCTTAAATGTTCTCACTACCAAAAAAAGAAAAAATACCTGTGAGGTGATGGATATATTAATTAGCTTGATTGTGGTAATCATTTCACAGTGTAGACATATATCAAAAATCACATTGTACACCATAAATGCATTCAATTTTTGTTAGTTATCCGTAAGTAAAGCTAGGAGGAAAAGAAACTGTCTCCGTGATGGTGGTGTCCAAGATCCCCCAGCTGTTCTGAGCTCATTTGATAGCCTCTCAAGCACAAAACCCATACGTTCACTGGAGCAACCCCAAGTTTTCATTCCAAAATGTGAAATGTTTTCCTTGGACATTTTATGCAAATTTTTAACTTCTTTAATAGATTTTCAAATGTTATAATCATATAAAAGATTACTATAAAAAGGCTAATATTTTATAAAGATTAATATTCTTTATAAAATTAAAACATTAATATTTTCAGCAAATATATAGCCCATTCAGATCCCCTCTGGTCTACCCCAGTGTGCCATGCAAATATTATGATTTTTATGGGAGAAAATGTGAAAAACATCAGGATAACTGTGTACTGTCTCACACTGCATTCATTCACTCCATGCGTGCTTCTGAGGAAGGGCAGGATACTGGATCCCTTGGGCCCAGTTCACTGTGGTGAGTTGGGATGAGCTGATACAAGTGCAGTGACCCACGAGCAGAGGAACATTCGAATGGGCTCTCTAAGTTTGAGCTGCCTAGGAGAATCTGAGGTCGGGAAGGCCAAGGCAGGAGCATCAGTGAACACACACATTCTTGGAAACTAAAGAGCTATCCGAAGCTCTCCCAGTGTACTTCCTGAGCTGTCACCTAGTGTGGAGTTGGCAGTCGTCCTATCTCCGTCCCAGGATGCGGAAGCAGGTGGGCTGCCCTCTTCCAGCTGCAGTGGAGAAATCTCCCTCTGGGAGAACCGTCACACACGTACACCACAGCCAGCCTGCCACAAAGCCTCCTGCGGACCTCCAGGGAGGCTAGGCTGAGGGACTGGACATTAAAACGTGACCTGGGGTCTTTCCGTGGCTGAGCATGGGGAATGGCTGTGTGTGTTTTCTCTCTGCACAAGAGAGCAATACAGTGAGGGGCAGCACAGAGGCCAGGCTGGGTGTGGCAGTGGACAGTCTGCTGGTGAGCCTTGCTGGCCCTGGCGTGGGGAGGGCAGGTGAGCCCAGACTTCCATCCCAATGAAGCCACTGCTGTGCAGGAACTTTCCACCTCTGCTGGAGTTCTGGTACTGCCGTGGTTTGCAGTGGGCCTGACCACATCTGATCAAATAAACATGTGTACTGCTGGGAAAAAAAAAAAATGGGAGAGATTCCATTGCAAAAAGTGCTTTCAGGCCTTGTTTCTCACTACTGAGAAATTTGGTCTTATTCCTGTAGGTGACAGGATGCCCTGGAGGTTTCTTATCAGGAAAGACAAAACCAGATTTTGCTTCAGGAGGTAGGAGGGCATTTGAGGCAGCTCAGGGTGGATTGCTTGAGGAAGAGCTTGGAAGTGAGAAGGCTGTTGCACAGGTTAGGTGAGAAAGGAGCAGCCCAGAGCAGAACCAGTGGCTAGGGAGGGGAGATGGCTTGGAGAGCTAGATGCCAGCCGTGGTGTTGGACTGGTTCGGGGTCACCAGGAATGAAGAGTCAGAAAGGAGAGGTCTAGGAGAGTGGAGCCTAGCAGCCCTGGGCCTTCTCACTGGTAAGATGCAGGGCAAAGTGGGCAGGTTTCCTTTGGGGATGCGGAATGCCTCTCAAAAGCCTAAAGAAGTTGTGGATTTGCCGCTACCCAGTTCACCAAAATAAAACAGGCACAGATATGAGTGTTCCAGAAATGGAGCAGGGCCCCAGGGGGAAACTGTGAGGCCTGCAGGGGAGGGAGGCCTTCTCCTGCCCCTCTGAAGAGGGCAGCTCAAGGTGCCTGAGGGGAGGGCCCTGGGGTGCTGTCCAAACAGACCTGTTTGGGCATTTACAGCCAGGCCTTGGCCAGGTTTTATCCTTAAGCATTGTTTTAACCAGGGGCAGTTTCCAGGGAGGGGCCCTCCTGGAGGAGCTGGCTTTGGATGCTGTGCCCTGTGTCAGCTGTGGTGTTCTGCGGTGCCCCTAGGAGAATACTCAGGCCCCTCTCAGGAGGGGGCCCAACGTCAATTTTTGAAGAGAGGTGAGAGTGGGACTTGGAGAACAGTTGTTCCTGGGGGAAGTGGGGCCCCATGCTGGCTTCTCCAGCCTAGCCATGTGAGCTGTATGTGTCACACAAGTACAGGTGCCACACAGGTCGGCTCAGCACAGCCACATCCGTGAGCCCCATTTTCCCTCATAGAATGCTAGCATGGTTCTGACCCTTGGCAGAACACAATAGGAACCAAAACCAGGAGTCCAGGAAAGACCCTCTAAAGCGGGAGGACACTGAGGGGCCAGTCCTTCCTGGGGACGTGTGGCTCTTTGCCGCTGGGTAAGCTCTGCCTTGAGGACAAAGGGCCTGCGGTGCCAAGGTTGCGGGGGAGCTCTGCGCTGGCGGCTGGGGTGCTCCCCGGAGATCAGCAAATGCTCCTGCGCCCTGCCGAGCCGAGAAGGCGCCTGCGATGACCTGGGGGCGCCCCGCCCGGCGTCCCCCGGGCGTCTGCGACCTGGGGCGCAGGGGTCGGGCGCACCCGGGTGGGGCGAGCGGGAGGGGGAGGAGCGCGCGGCCGGGCCGGCGCCCCGCAGGCCGGGGAAAGCGAAAGGGCGGCGGGGCCTCCAGCGCGCCGCTCCAGGAAGTCGCGAGCAGGAAGCGCCCGCGGCGGCCGGTCTGGCTGCGGTGCGCGAGCCTCGGCGGCGCAGGTGAGGCGCGGGCCCGGGCCGGAGGCGGCCGGGCGGCCGGGACCCCCCACCGCCCGCACCTGCGGGGTCCGCAGCACGCGGGAGTTGCACCTGCTGCCGCGGGCGCCGCCCCCGCACCCTGCGCGCCCCGAGCTTGGCCCCTCTCCGCCTTCTCTCTCTCTCTCTCTCTCTTTTTTCCGGTTTGGTTTGGGGTTTTTGGAGGGCCGGGGCTGGTCTCAAGCTGCTTTCGCTGAGGGAAGTCTTTGAAATTCGGGATCTACGAGAGTGGCCCTAGGCGACAATGCCGGCACTCGCGGACCCGGGCGACGCCGGCGCCCCGGCAAGCGGAGGCAGAGCCGCGGGTGCTGGCCGGCGGCCGCTCCCCGAAGCCCCGGCGGGGCCGAGCTTAGCTGCCTGCCGGCCCGCGCCGCGGTGACAGCTGGGGTCTAGGGCCGGCGGGAAGGGACCCGCGCATTGTCTCCGCGAGGGGACGTGGGCGTGCCCGCCGAGCTCGCCTCCTCCGGGACGGCCGCGGGGAGGGGCCGCGGCAGAGCGACCTCCGGCAGGCTCGGAGCGCGCGCCCTGGGCCTGCGAGGTGCCTGTCTGCCGAGCGGCTGGTTCCCGGAGCCCGGGGGCCTCCGGGCGGCGCGAGTGACAGCGGCCTTCTGGGGTTTGAATTAAGGGCTTAAAACGCCAGAACGTGCCCCTGCCGCTGGCCACCAGCCCTCCAACCCCAGCAGCCCTCGCCCCGATCCCAGTGACCCAGGAGGCTCAGGCCAAGGTTTGCTTTTGAACGGAGGGTGCTGGGAGCCCTCCCCCCACCCCGCCCCCAGGTTTGAATTTCTGAGGGAGGGGTTCCAAAGCCTGTCTTCTCCTGGTCTCCGTAGCTCACTACCTGCCTGCTTGCCTTTGAACTTCAGTTGTCTGCAATTGTGTGACTGGGTAAATAGACTTTCCCCATCGTCTCTTCGCTAATCCCCTTTTAGAGCAACCTGGGAAACCCTGGTCCCTAGACCCGTTTCGCCTTGTAGTTTGGGGACTGCATTTACAGGTTTTGTTTTGAGGAGACCAGGTTAGATGTTCTGTTTGTTGTGGGGAGGAGGGAGGTGGTGTGAATGGAATTCACATTCCTTGTTGTACCTAAGCCAAAGAAAAGTATATTGACCATTCCCATTGATGTTTAATATGGAGCAGAGCCTTTAAAAGCACAAAGCCATAGAAAGTGCTTACTCTGGGAAGGAAATTGTATTCTGTCTCTTGATTACAAAAAAGAACAATGCATGGCAACTTTTTTGGGGGACATGCATTCCTCACTCATCTTTGCCTTTAAAAATGAGACCCAGTTTAAAAATTTTGCCATTAAGTAAATTTAAAATCTCTGCGGTGCTGCTTGGATTAGGAGCAGTGGCACTTCGGCCCTGGAAAGACCCTTTCAACATTAAATGTCTTGCTGTTTACTGACTTTTTAGCCTGATTGTTGAACCTCTGCAGAGTGGAGGAGCTTATCTAGGGGGGCACATCATCACATGGGTGGGTCTGAGGGTGTGGCTTTCAGATGTGTGTGTCCCTCCACTCAGTCCACATTGCAGCTGCCTCGGTTGGGCTTTTTTAAGAAGACAGGTGCCACATCCTGTGTTTTACAGATTTTAATAGAGATGCTCAACTGAGATGCTTCCTAAGTTGCTCTTTGACAGTACAGTGAGATCGGACATTCTGACACTTTTCCCCAGTGGGGTGGTAAGTTCCAGGGGAGCCTATAAAGAGAGACTTTTAAAACGTACTTGGGCTGTGTGTCAAAACCAGGGTTTAAACCAAGTGACTTGCTGGAGTTCTGCTGCCCTCACTCTGCAGGGGAAGGGGAGGAGGAAGGGTGGCTGGAGGGAGGTGACTGAGGGAAACAGGACAGACTGGAATTTGCCCCAAGGATGATGGAGCTGACCTGGGCAGGCCGCCTTGCCTCATTTTCTCCCCCATAACCAGCCCTGCACCACGTTGCTTTGTGGGTGCTGCAGACGCGAGGGAGGAGGGGCCTTGCTAAGCTGAGCTCTTAAAGTCCCAAATGTAAAATCACTATCTTTATGCGTCTTAATTGCACACTGAGGATTTATAGCACTTTACTTTCACCCATTTTATAGGGGAAAGAGCTTGTCATTGTTTTAAAAGGAAATCAAGGAGGTTTTATTTTTCCTGTTGATTTTTCAGTACCTTCTGTGTCTTTTGTTGTCATAGGTGTTACCAAAGTTGCATTGAGGTTTTTATTTATTGAGTAGATGGCAATAGAGTATTTCCAGACAGGCTGGACACAGAGAAGCAGCATCTAAAAGGAAGCAGCTTTATTCTGACCACCCATTTGCAGGCATCATAAAAATTTAAACCAAATCTTTTACTCTAAAGTCATCATCACAAAATTGTTACTCAAAGTGTATCTGGGCCCAAACCAGAGTCCACTGATTTTTGAGCAGAATTTTAGCAAAACGTTTTTTTAAATCTAGAGGCTTCAGCAAAAGCAGTTTTGAAGCATCTGTGGTCATCTGTTGCACACGAGTTTCTTGAGCACTTGCTCTGTGCTAGGTTCTGAACTAGGAAATGGGAATAGGACAGTCACCTACTGTCCTGGGCCTTCCTCTCCTGAATTTACAAGAAGCGTAATGTCAGCTTGTATTAACTGAGCATTTGCTGCATTCCAGGCTCTGGGTAAGTGCTTTCAGCGGATTATCTCTCTGCAATTTTCTAGCACTGTAGGCACCATCATCGCAGCTGTCTAGCCCTGCAGGTGAGAGAGCAGAAAGGCTGTGAGTTTCCTGGGCCCACCCAGCCCAAGCTCAGCCTTGGGGGCAGGAGGCGTTCTGAATCGCACATGTTAAGGCCCTGTGGGGGCTTAGGAGAAAGGTGTGATTCTCCTGGCTGAAACAGACAGAGGAGATGGGGATGGCCTCTGGGATGAAGGACTTTGAATGTTTCTGTATAAGGTAGTATAGAGGAAAATCATCGAAGTGTGTGCGTTTTTTGAATGCTCACCCTGGAAGGAGGGCAAAGGGAATGTGGAGAACCAATTCTATTGTGGAAACACAGTGACCTAGGAATATGTCATGAACTTGGCTTTGGGGACAGGAGACCAGCCCAGCCTGGTGTGCTGGGCCCCTTCATGATTCTCAGGCCTCTCTACCCATTCCTTCCCATATCGCCCTGCCTTCACCCTGACTGCAACGAGGTGATTTTCCACAGCCTCTGAGGTGAGCACAGGCAATGACAAATGAGACAGACAGAGGCAAAGTTCATTCCAACGGCTTCAGGTGCATTTCTACTCAAATGGCAAAGCCACAATGAAACGATTGCCTTGATCTGCCCTCTTGTCCAGGCCTGCATTCTTCTGTCACTGGGCTCAAAGGTGGCCTGGTCCACTCTGGGCAGAACTGAGCAAGTCTGGTGCCCTGGCCTGCCCCGATAATTGGGCACACACTTGATCTTGTGTGAGTGTTTGTTCTGTGCAGTGTCACATTCAAGAGTGAGTGAGCTGCTCTCTGGATGCCTACCAGGTGAGCTCTATGGTTCCTTTTTAAAATTTTTTTTGAATTGACAAATTATAATTATACATATTCATGGGATAGGTAGTGATATTTCACACCTATAATGTGCAGTGATCAGATCACAGTAATTAGCACATCCATCCTACCAAATATTTTATCATTTCTTTCTGTTGGGAACATTCAGTGTGCTCCTTCCAGCTATTTGAAACTATATATTACTGTTAACTGTAGTCATCCTTCAGAGGTATAGAACACTGCAATTTATTCTGCCTGTCTAGCTATAGTTTTGTATCCTTTAATGAATCTCTCCCAATCTCTCCCTATCCCCTCCTCTTCACAGCCTCTGGTGTCCTCTGTCCTACATTTTACTTCTGTGCATCATCAGAACATCATTTGAAATTCATCTCAGTGATCTTCGAGCAAACCGCGCTGAGGGCAGACACTCTGGTGGCACTCGCAGTGGGAGCCCCTCCTTGGCGGGAGCCCCTCCTTGGCAGGAACCCCTCCTTGGCGGGAGCCCTCCTTGGCGGGAGCGCCTCCTCGTGTCGGAAGTCCGTTTTTGATCTGAACTGGTGCCACTGCTGCACAACCCCGTAGTTACTTCTGCCGGTGACTCTGACAGTGTCATTGTCAGAACACTGACTTTGGATGCCTCTCCTTCTCCTTATAGAGAGCAGAGCCACTGCCGGAAGGAAGAGGGGACGAGTCCCAGTGGGACGCTTCTCTGTGCGCTTTCCAGCCCGTGTAAGCCGCAGGTGCAGTTGAGGGCGAGCCTGGAGCCAGGATTGGTAACCTACATGTGAAGCATCTTATTTTGTGACGAGGCTCTATGGTCAGTGGCACCGTAAATGGCTCGACTCCCCGCCGGCATCCGCTTCATCGTCTCCTTCTCCAGGGACCAGTGGTAAGTGCTGGCAGCCCAGTGGCCTTTGGCCTGGTGCTGTGTGTGGGTGAGAGCCACTGTGCAAGTAGTTTCCTTGCCCCAATGTCATTGTGAAACACGTAAAAATTGGATCGGTGGCATCCCCCGTAACTGTTGAGTGGCTTGTTGGTGGTGGGAGTGGTGACCAGGACCATTGCTGAGTTGTCTGTCATCTTGGTGTTGACAGATACCGTTTGGACTCCCATGTGGCCGTCAGTAGTTTCTGTTACAATCACGGTCCCCACAGAAACGTGGCCACTGACGACCAGCAGGATTATAAAACGGCTGTGGGTGAAATAAGTACATAACTCTGAGCCCAGACATGGCCTCACTGGGGCAGAACTTTCAAAGAGAAAATGAACTCGCAGCAAAGCTAGATGCAGACCGGAACACCATGTTCTGTCCAGAGAGCACCTCTCCTTGCATGCGCTGAGAACTCTTCTCTCAGGTGGATTTGTTAATCCCACACTCCTGGAAGGAAGCAGGTGCAGTCTCGAGCTGGGCTATCTGGCCTCTAACCCACCCTGCTGGTCTTTGTTGGGGAAAGAAACATATTTTTCTACTGTCAGGTCCAGTATTCGAGGGCCTGTGAATTAAACCGACAAAAGATAAATTAGCAAAAGAAAGGACAGATTTAATCAAGTATATATGAAAGGTGATAGGAAAACCTGACTCAAAGTAGCATTTAGAATTTGGGACTCATCTACCATCTTTAACAGGGGAAGGGGAGTGGGGGAAGGACAGCTAAGGGAAAACAAAGGGCTTTTTAGAAAGGTGAGTGGCTCCTAGAGGAACAGTCGGTGCTGTAATAATGTGTTTCTGTGTGGGGCAGGCTTCTCCTCTTCCTGGCGAGAGTCTCCTGGGTCCAGTGAGAGGGTTGATGACGGCTGAGTTCTCTGGGGGAGGCTCTGCTTTTAGGCACGTACAAGATTTCAGGAACACAAATGCCTTCTGCTCAAAATGAGTTTGATGCCACGTGGCTTTCCTGGGCCAGTTTCTCTTCTTCACACCCACCTAGTCATGGCTTCCACCCCTTTTGCAGCTCCTCGAGCCCCACTGGGCCGTGGAGCTTCCCGGGCTCTTGGTCTCAGGTTTGACTTAAGGACATCGGGGCTATCTAACCAGTCGGCTTCCCTTCTTGACTCTAGTGTGCACTGGGAATCAGCCCCAGGTGCTAAATACTTAGGTTGTATTTAGTGAGTGTTTAACTTCTCTGTTCTATAACTTTTTGTGATATAATGTTAAACTCAGAGAACTTACTATTAATCACATTTGTACGGATGTTACACAGAACTCTGTAGAACTACTGTATATCAGCGCTTGCTAACGCTGTCCCTCATTTTGCTTCTCTCCCTGTCCCCAACTGTGTGTGTAGATGTTTGTACACACACACACATACCTGGCTTTCAGGCCCATTTGAGAGTAAGTTGCAGACATCATATCCTTTTATTTTTAAATACTTCTGTGTATATCCTGTGAACAAGACATTCTCTTACATAACCACAGCGTAACAATCAAAATCAAGAAATCTGACACTGACACGACACTGTTATCTAATCCACCGTCCTCACTAAAAACCATGTCGAATGTTCAGTAATATCTTTTATGGCACTTGCCCCGTCCAGGATCGGTCCAGGCTCATGCGCTGCATTTAGCTGCCCTGTGGGTTTAGTGTCTTTTGATCTAAAAGTACTCTTTGCCCCCCTTTTTTTTTTTTTTGTCTTTCATGCCTTGACAGTCTTGAAGAGTTCGAGCCAATTTTTTTACAGAATGGCCTTACTTTGGGTATGTCTGTTACTGCCGCATGATTAGGTTCAGATTACATTACTGCATTTCTGACAGAAATCCCACAGGAAGGAGACAGCTTTCTCACTGATGGAAAAGGAGCCACAGATGTGGGGAGGGGAGAGAACCGGAATGAATCGTGTGGCCTCCTCTCAGGAGGAGCTGGTGGCAGTAGATGCAGAAATATTTAGGGGAGGCGTGTATAAAATGTACCCGCTGAGAGGTCCCGGGGCAGGATCACCCACAGAGAGCAAACCGGCCCCAATCCTGGTTTCTGTGTGCCACTTCCCACCCAAAGGAACCAGGGGTCCTCGGAGACTTGGCTAATGCCAGGACTGTGGCAGGGAATGTCAGGGTGGGCCTGAATGTCTTGTGCCATAAAATAAGGATGTGCTTAAAAGTAAAAGGCCTCTCACTGTCCAAATCCAGGACAGTTTGGGATTTAAAATAAATGATACTAATGGAGGATTATAGCTCATTGAGCAGAATGTAGTGAGTCCACACTGATACAACTAAATAACTAGAGGAAAGGAGAGCTCCCCCATGCAGTTGGGGCCAGCTGCTCGGCAGGGAGGGACGCCGCAGCTAGCAAGCCACCGCCTGGAGCCAGAAGGGCTGCGTGGTGCAGGCCTGCAGACTATGTGCACGCATACCACGGGGGGAGGATCTCTGTGTTATCTCAGAGTAGGTCCCCACAAACTCCTTATTCATTACTTAGAGGGAAGCAATAAGAGAAGTACTAAGAAGAAGTAATAAGAATAAATGGAAAGCTGTAGTTTCACCAAGGGACAGCGTGGCAGACAGCACCTTAACCGGTGACCAGCGTTAGTGTCACCAACGCCGCGCCTCCTGACAGGATGCTCTGAAAAGTACATGGCATCACTTCTCTGGTTTCATGGTTTCTAAATTGAGGATGTCTTAGGACTAATTTCTACACCAAATCACACTGCGCAGTGATTCCCCAAAGCATTTGTTTATTCCTTATTCACATATGACTGAAATGTAACACTCAAACAAGGAGACAGACATTCTGCATGGAGAAGGTTGCTGCTCATCTGAGAACATGATATCCAAGAACATTTCTAAGGAAACTCTGCAGGTGCATGCCTGTCCTGTGTTGTCATTGTTGAGGCTGGCTTTTTTGCTAGAAACTTGGGGTTAACCCAAACACTGTGCTTCTTGTATTGGTGAATGCAACGAATACTACAATTAGTTACAAAAAATAAATTAATTACAATTTATTACAAATTTATTACAATTAATTACAAAAAATAAATGAAATACTGATGAGTAAAAGGATTAGACTATTTCTATAAATGTAACACAAAACAAAAACAAAAGGACTGTATTAGTTTCCTAGAGCTGCTGTAACAAAGTCCCACGCGCTGATGTCTAAAACGACAGACATGTAGTCTCTCCCAGCACTGGAGTTCAGAAGTTCGAAATCGAGGTGCCAAGGTATTGGCAGGGCCACCCCCGCTCTGAAGGCTCCAGGGAAGGGTCCTTCCTCGTCCCTTCCCTTCCAGCTTCTTCAGTTGGCTGTGGTGCTTGGCTCACAGCTGCATCCAACCAGTCTCTGCCTTCAGGGTCACAGGGCCACCCTCCTGTGTGTCTCTGTGTCTTCACGTGGCCTCTGTGTAAGGACACCAGTCCTTGGAATCAGAACCCACGCTAATATAATGCCACCTCACCTTAAACAATTGTGTCCACAAGACCCTATTTCCAAATGAGGTCACCTTGCAAGGTTTTGAGTGGGCATGAATTATTAGGGGACACTGCTCAACCCAGCACAGGATGGATAAAAGGAAACAAGTATCATCCAAAACTTTGCTTCATAAATGCTAAAGAAAATGAAGACAGACCTACAAAATAGGGCAAGGCTTCTAGGAGGATTGTTTGGGACTCAACCCCATCACCCAGGACACTCCTGCAGAAGCAGAGTGTCCACTGGCTCTGCAGGCCAGGTGAGTTGGGACAGCGGCTGCGGTGTGACAGTGGCTGGTGGGAGCTGGGGTTGGACCTTCTTAAAGGGAAAACCAACCTCCGCTGTGGGCTTCTCCCTTCCCCCAAGACCTATGCAAAGAAGATGAGGAAAATGAGGGAGGAAGGACGGATCTGCAAACAGGAAGTAGAGTTGGCCTGATACTGGCTGAATAAAGATAGAGCCTTCCTCTCCAGTCCCCAGGAAAGTGGCAGTGTGCTGTGCAAGCTGACCCTTCACCCTGGCTCTCAGAACAGCGTCTCTCAGAGAACCCGCTGACCTGCAGGCTGTTCCTCTTCCCACCCAAAGGGGCTAATCCTTAGGGGTTTCGTTTCCACGCAGAACTGAACTGAAGATTTCTGGAGGCGTGTGCCCCTCCCCTGTGTGGTCCTCGGCATTCATGGGGTCTCCGTGGGGGTGCTCTAGCCCAGGCACTAGCGGGAGGCTTGGGAGGCTGCCTCAGCCTGCAGGGCACTGCCTGCTGAGCACCACTGGGAGCTACTGCACAGGTGAAGGGTAGGGCCCTGGGGTGGTGCCCAGGGCCTGATGGCCCACACAGCCCTGGCGGTCTAGGGCACAGCACATGTCCGGGCCCTAGCATGCTCAGACCCTGTCCCGACAGGGGGAGAGTGCGTTGCTTCTGGGCCGTCTGGGTAGAGGGGAAGCACGAACCTGAGGCCCCGAGAGTGTAGCTGCTGTGTGTCTCATGGTCCTTAGCTGCTGCTTGTGGAATTCACACGTCCCAGCCGGTAACACACCTGGGAAACTGTGGCACCTACATAGAGTCCTCAAGGGTGCACAAAAGGTGCTCCACATTCTTCTCTGAGACAGGGGGTGCTGGGGCTTGCTCTCGCTGAAGGCTTTGTTCATGCTTCCCATGGAGGTTGGGACAGGAACCCTGTACCCACGCGGGCACAGATCAAGGTCATCACAGGCTACACATGCTCTGTTCGTTCGGGTCAGGTGGGGACATAAGGGACCAGCGAGTCCGGCTGTGGGCTGGAAGTTTGAGCGTGGGGCTGATAAGCTTGGGTGGCCTGGAACCGCATAGGAGCAGAGGGTGGCATAACAGAGCATCAGACAGAGGGCAGGGACTGTCATTCCTTGATTTTCAGAAACAAGGACAGAGGTGTGGGCTTTTACAGTAAATACACTATACCTGCATAGCCTTTGTTCTTCGGGCTTTGGGATAAGTTACACACTCATTTTTTAGAGTTTCACTTTTTTCCCATCTGACCGTTGGCGTGGCCTCGGAGAGGCAGAATCCAGACAGACTATCAGCATTGATTTTCCTGATGAAGAAGAGAGCACTGGGGCATTCCTTTATCATTTGGCGAGTATTCAGCAGATTGCTTTGGTTTTTTGCTTTCCCTAAGGCGCAAGCATTCCAGGGGTCATAGGTTTGAGTCCCACAGTACTAACAACTCTTCTTCCCTCCTGAAATATGGTCTTTTTTTTTTTTAAATCTAGAAATATTTATTTGACCCCTACTTTTGCTGGTGGCCAGAGAGGCAGGCAGCCTTAGGATTCTAGGATTCCACGTGTCATTCACAGAGAGCTTCCCGTGGGAGTAAATCCCAGCATTGAAGTGCGCCATCCCGGGGCCTCCTCTGTCCAGGTAGACCTGGCAGATGCCGCCTAGGTGACTGGCACACAATTTGAAGTGGGCAGGCTCTCCAGGCCAGAAACAGGACAGGTTCTGCAGGGCTAGCGGTTGCGCCTCAGGACACAGAAGAGCTGCTTCCTGGTTAGAGTCCCTCCTCTTCATCTCTTGTCAAACTCCTCTTCCTCCAGCCTGTTTGTTGCCCTAAGAAGTATTTTTCTATGTGGTGGTTCAGAGTTTCAGGCTGGAATTAACTTTTGTCTCCGTACTCGAGTCACTTCTTTTCTTCATTCGCCAGCACTTTCCATACTTAGTCTCGAGCTACTTTTCTCACAGCCAGACAGAGCCCCAGGGCTGTGTGCCAGTGTTTTTATGTCGTTGGCCCTATTCAGAGCCTGCCAGCGTCACTAACTTTTTCTCATTGAGGTCAGTGAAATATTTATATGTCTGCCTTGCTTGTGTGCTGTTGAAAAGTTGCATAGAAACTAAAAATCCAAAAATAAATATGATCTTGAATGCCCAGGATAGCAGGCTACACAAAGAGCTTGCAGTTAATTTTGTTGCAAACTAGATAAACATTCCTTCTTGTCTGCTTTGTAAACATGTGTTCCTCTTAAGTCCCAAATTTCTCTTTGGTTATAGTTTTTTAAAAATGAATGTCTGCAATAGTGTGGTATAATAATAAATACATATTTAGTCTTTGCCCCTGGTTCCTGGCACACAGCTCCTATAATGCTTGCACTTTCTGAAATGGTGGGTGTTTTTTTGTATGCTAATGAGATGGCTGGTGGCTGGGGCTCGGGACACCTCAGGATGGGGACTGGTTGCCAGGGGACCAACTCAGCCCCACCCTCAAGCTCTGGGGTAGGGAAAGGGTCCCCTAAAGGTTGAGCTGATCACCAGTGTCCAGTGATGTTATCAGTTGTGCCTATGTAATACAGCCTTTTGGGAAACCCAGAGGACGGGTGGGAGAGCCTGCAGGTTGCGGGACAGGTGAGGACATGGGTGTGATGAGCCCCTCCCCCATACCTTGTCCTATGCATTTTTGCATCTGGCTGTTCATCTGTATCCTTTGTAGTATCTTTTCTAATAAACCAGTAAACATAAGTAAAGTGTTTTCCTGACTTCTGTGAACTGTCCTAGCAAACTAATCGAATCTGAGTGGGAGCCCCGATTTATAGCCAGTGGGTCAGAGGCCGGGGCCACAGCCTGGGGCTTGCCATCGGCACCTGAGGTGGGGGCAGCCTCCTGGGGCCAGGCCCTCAGCCTGTGGGACCTGACACTGTCTCCAGGCAGATAGTATCAGGGTTGAACTGAATTGGAGGACACATGATTGGTGTCTGCTGGGGAATTGCGTGGGGTGGGGGGACCCCTCACATCTGGTGTCAGAAGTTTTGTGTGCTGTGTGTCAGGGTAGGAAAGACAGTTTGGTTTTTCTTATCTCTTAACAGTGTTGAAGTAGTTTCAATTTGGACAAAGCAAAAAGGGCAAAATCGTGTCACATTCGAATATCATAGTGCTAATGTAAGTAAGGTGGATAACTGACTCAGGACTGAATGCATAACGTCCAGCGTAAGAATTTAAGAGCACAGTGATACTGTATTGTTAACACACCTTCTATTACTTTATCTTCTGCCACTGTCTGTGTTTCAGGTACAGAGCCTTCATTTTTATTTTGACATTTCTGCTGTATGCAAGTTTTCACTTATCTCGAAAGCCTATCAGCATAGTTAAGGTAAGAAATCCTAAAAAGCACTCACGTTTATGTCCTGCCTGTAATCTCTGTAAGGAACGAATTACTCTAAGAACCTTTGGGCAAGGGGTGGGGACAGTGGCAAAAGAAATGAAGAAAGTGGATTGTTTGGAAACAAGTTATTTTGCAGCTTTGGTTTTTTTGGTTTCTCTTTTCTGAAATTATACTTTTTAAAATGTTTTTAGGATAAATTCATAGGTAGTATACTCTCAGGTATATTAGTTGACATTTCCAGAATTCTAAGGCTTAATTGTTTATTTTTATCTTGTGTGAATTTTCCTTCCAAATATATCCAGTCTTAGATCATCCCCCAGTTGCTTCAGCTGTTACACGCCCTAACCCTAAGCCTGGCTGTGGAGGGGGTTCTCCTTATTCTTAGGAGGCTGAGTTTTTGTCCGAGTGATGGGTGAGCAAGAAGCTTGTAAGTCAGGTGTTTGACTAGACTTTGAGAAAAGAAGATTAAAGTAGAAAATCCTACATAATAACCAGTTAAAACTTGGAAGAAAAGCAGGATAATTTTCTCACCCTCGTTGGAATCGCATCATCTTGCCTTCAGACTGTCAGCAGGTCAGCAGGCTCGAAAGGCTCTTGACTATCGTAGAAGGAACGAGGAAACTGCAGTACCAAAGATAACTCATTAGGCGCGGCGAGTGAGCGCTGCGTGCTCTCCAGTGGTTGGCAGGGACACACAGGCAGCGCTGCGACTTCGTAGCTGCGCCTCCTCCTCTCCCGCGGGTGGCTGAGCACTGGACATGTGTCCCGGGGAGGAAACACTGTGGACAGCTCTGGGTCCCCCGTTCTCCAGTAACTAACTCCCAGTGCAGGAAACATTCTTTACTCAAAAGATTCTAAAATTCCTCCCCGACCCCTGGTAAGCAGCAACTTTCTATGCCCTTTAAGTCACTGACTGTGGAAATATTTGCAGACCTTTAAAAATGTGGTTTGCAAAAGAGAGATAAGGATAGGAAAAGAGGTGACAGACCTTAATAAACACCCAGCCATGCCAGCCACTGACAAGGGACTCTAGATCAGTACCAGTCACCAGCCACCGTAGGTCTGACTATTGCTACCTCTCGTCTTCCTGGTTAGGGCAATGCACAGATGGCTCAAGAAAATGGCAAATTGTAAAAATGGAAGAGACTCCTGAAGAGACTTAGGGAGCGCCTTGGGATTGAAGGGCCACGTGTGGTCAGCAGAGCCCGCATGGGGTTTCAGGGGACTGGCCGGGAGAGGCTGGGTTTGGGTTGTGTGGGGAAGAGAGCGGTCCAGGTGGGCTCTGCCTTGAGTGCCAGGTGGAGGGATGAGCGTCACCATGAAACTGCTACCCAGGGGGCTGAGGGGCTGCCGGGACAGATGCAGCATGTAAGGTGGGCTGGCCCTGGGGGGTCCCTGCGGCAGGATCCAACCCCCGTAGTCCATCTGACAACCACGAGGGTCCCTGTTAGCCAGGAAGGGATGTGAGCTTTGTTCCAGGTCACCCTCCTGGCTTCCCTGGGGGTCCCTCTGAAGGCCCCCGTCCTCCACTCCCGTGTGTGGAAGCGTCCATGCCACTTGGAGCGCAGGGCTTACTGAGGATGAGGTCTCACGGCCAGCTCTCATTTCAGTGTCCCAGGTAACAATACCTGCCACTTACTGAACCCTGTGGGGTGACAAGGGGTGCTCACATTTGTTATTTAATATGGTCCTGACAGAAGCCCTGTGGGCGTCCTCAGGAGGAAGCCAGGTGCTGCGGGGAGCATAGCGTGACTCCAGTCTGTGTCTGCGGGGCTGGCGCTCACTCACCCAGGTGACTCCCCTCTGAGGGGCTGGCGCTCACTCACCCAGGTGACTCCCCTCTGAGGGGCTGGCGCTCACTCTGGTGAACTCTATACATCTGCTCCTATTACCCTGTCTGCCCCTTGGGCACTTAGCCACTTGAGTCCAGTCAGGGCATCACACCCAGGGTTTCTTTTTTTTTGTTTTGAGACAGAGTCTCACTCTGTTGCCCTGGCTAGAGTACAGTGGTGTCAGCCTAGCTCACAGCAACCTCAAACTCCTGGGCTCAAGCGATCCTTCTGCCTCAGCCTCCCGAGTAGCTGGGACTACAGCTGGGACTACACCATGCCCAGCTAATTTTTTCTACATATTTTTAGTTGTCCGGCTAATTTCTTTCTATTTTTAGTTGAGACAGGGTCTCACTCTTGCTCAGGCTTGTCTCAAGCTCCTGGCTCAAACAATCCACCTGCCTCAGACTCCCAGAATGCTAGGATTATAGGTGTGAGCCACCGCACCAAGCTACCCCCAAGGTTTCTTTAACACACAGGTTTTCCGACATGGCACCTTAAGATGGATTGGCCTTATGCTGAAGCCCTAGGTCTCTTTGCCTTATGTGACATAAGTATGTCACACCACATATGATAACTTAAACTTCATAATGCCTTGTGAAGCTTTCACATGCATTAGCCCATGTTATAAATAACATAGATGAAACTGGTAGTTTCATTTCTATTGAAATGAATCATTTCCTGTTTCTATTGACCTGAGGAACAGTTTGATAGTTATCTAATTATCTATAGCCTGTTTTTCCTAGAACATTATAAGTAAAACAAAAGCAAAATATATTTGCTTACTTGAAATCAATCACCAGGGTCACGAATTATAAACTGATTCCCATTCTATACTGACATTTATAAAATGTGGCCTAACAGGTCAGATTTAGGTCAGTCTTGAATTGTTTAGGCTTACCTTTCATCAATGTTGACTAATTTTATTTTATGCTTATCAACAAAATGTATATTTAAAAAGATGATGATGAAACCAGGGCTGGGAGGATGGTAGTGTTTCAAGTGCAACCCTCGTCCCCTCTCCCTGCTGCCCCCACGTAGCCCAGCCTCAAGGTGTGAGGCAAGTGTCTGCCTGGGGGGTCTGTACCCTCCTAGGGGAGCCCTTCTGGGGGCTCTTACCCGCTGGCTGGGCCAGAGCAGAAACCGGGAAGCAGGGGCTTCTCAGAGCTGAAGCTGGCAGGGGTCCCTGCACCAGGGGGTGGCGACACTGACTGATGGACTTGAGTGTGGGCGTGCCTAGCCCTCTCTGGACTCAGTGCCCAGGGCAGATAGAAAACAGTGTCTGAAACCTGGCAGTGCGTACCATGAGTGGGAAGCTTGTTATTTGGAAAGGTCCAGTGCTCCCGGTGTTAATATTTAAATAGAATGCAACTTCAATGAAAATCTCAGGAGGGTTTTTTCTTAATTGAATAAAATAATCTTAAAGTTTATATGAGAGAATTTCCAGGAATTATCAGGGAAAGTGTGAAAAAAGATAAATTTTTATGACATGAAATGAAACAAAAATATGAAAAGATTAATGTATTTTAAATATCATAATCAAATTATCGTATTGCATGAGAATAGGCAAAAAGGTCAGTAGCATGGAATAGAAGATGTAGACTATTTGACAGAGATAATGGGGAAAATACAGCGTTTTTAATAAATGGTGCTGGTACTGCTGATTATCAAGAATAAAGGTTGAATGCCTATATTGTAAAAAATCAATGGATGGATTAAAGACTTAAGTATAAAAAATAGAAAGTAAAATCCAAGAATAAATTATGTTCATCTTAGGAACTTAGGAAATCCAGAGGAACAGTGGACAGAGGGGTGGATAGGCCATTCACAGACAAGGAATCCACGTTTCCAGGAGGTACAGAAGCTGTGTTCAAGTTTACTAGTCTCGTGTTCACAAATGCGAGTTAAGGTAGCGGTATGTCCTTTGACTGGCACAGCATCACAAAGAGCCGCGGCCCCTATCACTGGCCCCGATGGAGGAGAGGACCTGCAGGTGTCAGTGATGGGGATGTCGAGTGTTAGTGCCTTTTGAAAGGTATTCTGTAATACCTGGCAAAATAGAAAATACACATGGCCTTCCATCCTACTTCTGGGAATTTCACTCATAAAAATAAAAGCACCCATACTTAGGGATATCTGCATAAGCATCTTTTTTTTTTTTTTTTGAGACAGAGTCTCACTCTGTTGCCCGGGCTAGAGTGCTATGGCGTCAGCCTAGCTCACAGCAACCTCAAACTCCTGGGCTCAAGCAATCCTCCTGCCTCAGCCTCCCGAGTAGCTGGGACTACAGGCATGTGCCACCATGCCTGGCTATTTTTTCTATATATATTTTTATTTAGCCAAGTGATTTCTTTCTATTTTTGGTAGAGACGGGGTCTCACTCTTGCTCAGGCTGGTTTTGAACTCCTGACCTCGAGCGATCCGTCCGCCTCGGCCTCTCAGAGTGCTAGGATCACAGGCGTGAGCCCCTACACCTGGCCTGCATAAGCATCTTGATTGTGCATTATTTGCAGTGACCAAAAAAGGAAAAAAATACTGGATATCAAATGAACCTAATCAGTAGGTGAAAGTTTGAACAAATTATGACAAATCTGTATTTTGTACTTTTTTTTTTTAGTTTTTTTCTTTTTATTTATTTTTTTATTTCCCTTAGAGAAATTCAGGGGTCTAACAAATCCATATTTTGAAATGTGCAACCACCTAAAGGAATTAATTCATGCCAAACCAGTTGAAAGGAATTAATTCATGCCAAACCAGTTGACTTAGAAACATCTCCAGGAGGTATTTTGAGTAAAAAGTTAAGATGTTCATAAGTATATGTAGAATGATTCCATTTTTAAAAAGTAAACAGTGACTAAAAAGCTTCCCTATGTATTTCTAGTATGTATTTCTATACACCTCTGTGAGTGGAGTATGCTGCCACCTGCCCAAGTGTGTTTGGTCCCCTCCTGTGTGCCGCCCATGATCCATTCTGCAAACTGGCCACGTGCAGGTGCTGTCATACATGAGCACAGCTCATCTCGTCTTCCTACTTTTGGTGCCCAAACTTTAATTTCTCTCCCAGGTCTTCTTTTGGATAATGCTTTGGAGACTACTTTTAGCCTTGTATAAGGAATATGAAGAACTAGTTAGAATAAACGAACCCACCCTACCTAATGAGCCACAGGAAGCTTCCTGAACATATCACTAAATATAGACTATGTATACACACGCATGCACACTCATACACACACACTGGGTTGTCTGAAGGTAGACGGAAACTGACAGAGCCCCACTCTCCTCTGGGGGAATTAGTGAGGCCCGAGCCCTCCCCACTGTCCTGTCCCTCTTGTCCCCTCTCAGCAGTTCCTGTACCCTTCCTGGTTCCCTTCCCCTGCAGGGAAGGTGCATCTTCACTGGAGCCTTGGAGCCACACAGGCCCGAGAGCCTCGGAGGCGACTGAGGCTCAGTGTGGACAGTCTTCCCTGAATGTATGTTAGCGTGGTGAATACTTGTACCTAAATGACCATGGGTCTGCGCTAGCATAGAACTGCGGAGGTCCAGTCTTTTCTAGTGTCATCTTCGGAAAAAATTCTTGCTCTAGCTGCCTCCCACTCCCTGGGAGTGAGTTCCTCCAGCTGCCAGTGGGGGACGGGGGTGGTTAGGGTCTGGAAGAGGAATGTGTAGACAGATGACAAATCAGAGCACCTGGCACCCCCGTGCCTCACGCCTGTTTTCTGTGTTCTCCAGCAAGTTGGCACCTTTGTTCTTCCCTCCCCTCTTCAAACACGGTGGCTGTTTGCTGTCTGTTTTTGTTGCTGTTCCATTATGTGCTACACAGACACTTTTAAAAATAGTGACAATGGTGTGCTTACAATGGTCCCTTCTTCTTTTCCTCCCTTGCCGTATGTAAGTGTATTATTTGGTTGCCACATGGTCTTTTGACTGACCAATTGTTAATAACTCCATGATGTAACGGGTTACTTAATTCTACATGCGACTTGCTGGAAGGCAGGGCTGTGGGAGGCTGGTGTGTTTCCTGCTTTCACCTGGCAGCTGTTTGCTCATCAGTTCATCTGAGTTTAATTAGGCCTTCCGTGCCCCTCACACAGCAGGTTTTGGGGATAACACTTGTTAAAATATAGCAATATTGTTGAAAACTAACCTGTGGCCATTTAGATATCCTAGAGCCCTTTCTGCTGGAGCACTGCGAGTCCTCTGTCGCTCTGGCTGCAGCCATCCAGCAGGGCTGAGGCCACGGGTGCAGGGAAGGAGAAAGGCGGGGAGGGCACAGGGTGGAGGGGGCAGAATGAGGTTCCGGGAGACGTGGAGGTGAGCTCCTTACACTCACGGCTGCCAGACCCTGAGCCCTTTTACTGTCCATCTCCACACAGCCCTGCGACTCAGGTGTTATCGGACCGACTCTGTAACTGCCAGCCAGGGAGCGGGAGTGACGTTGCCAAGGTGGCCAGCCACACAGTGGCACCAAGATCTCAGCCCAGGCCTGTCTGCAGCCAGTGCCTGTGTCCCTAACCAGGGTGCTGGGTCCCACTCATGATGTAGCAAAACTAGAAAACCTTTTCTGCTTACTTATGGGGAAAACCTATTCTGTTTTTCATGGATGGTTCCTCCTCAGAAATATCAAATGGTGAAAGAGGATGTGAGCGTTCTCTTATAAGTGGGGGTCTGCAGCATTCCTTTCTCCTAGCTTCCCTGTAGGCTACTGCCAGAAACTCAGTTTAGCCCTGCCAGCCCTCTCAGCCTGGGGTGTCCTTTCCTGTCCTACCCATGGCTTTCTTCAGTGACAGGTGGATCAGAGCAGCGACACCCAAGCCTCTTGGGTCTGGCCAGGCTGGCTTCCATGAGAGGTAGCAGGGAAAGGTGGGCAGAGACACCTGGCTGCAGAAGGCACCAAGGAGGAGAAAAGTATAAAATTGGGAGGCAGCTGAGTGGGGAGAGGCTGCAGATGCCAGCTCCACATGGAGCAGAAGGGCCGCAGGCGCCCTGCCCGGGGCCTCCCCCATCACATGGTCTCCGCGGGTGGGCACTCAGCCCTGCCCGGGCCTCCCCCATCACATGGTCTCCGCGGGTGGGCACTCAGCCCTGCCCGGGCCTCCCCCATCACATGGTCTCCGCGGGTGGGCACTCAGCCCTGCCCAGGCCTCCCCCATCACATGGTCTCCGCGGGTGGGCACTCAGCCCTGCCCGGGCCTCCCCCATCACATGGTCTCCGCGGGTGGGCACTTGGACACAGGCAGCGGCAGCCGGGCTCTGAGAGGCAGGGAGCATGTGACAGCACTACCTTCCTAAGCTGCCGAGAGGCCCGTGCTGGTGCCTCTGGGGAGGGCAAGCTCTGCGGAGAACTGCTGGGCAGATAATGACTTGGCAGAGCCCTTGGCTGGTTTTTAGGGCAGTGTTTAATTATAGCAGAACAGCCAGTGATGATGACAAAGCCACATGACCGCAGAGCAGCTGTGTCCTGTGTACCATATCAGGACTCAGTGACATGTGCCCAAGTGCAGCCGCTGTAAACCAGGGTGTCCAGCCCAGGCTGACCAGGGCCCGAGCAAGGACAGCCTTCTGGAGGTGGCCAGCCTCTTGGCCACTCCCTCTTGAAGAAGGAACAGGACTTATGACCATTGTCCTCCTGGTGACTGGACTGGCTCCTTGACCACTGAGCGGTGCCCTGACCCTGGAGCCAGCTTTCTGCATGGCTGTCCAGGCCCCTGGCCTCTCCCAGATTCCAAACCACTAAGGATGCCCTCTGATCCCGTGGTCCCCTGAAGGACACTCCTGACCACGAGCACCCCTGCTGTGCGCCCTGCTCACACCTGATGGCCAGCTCATCTGTGTGGCACGAAGCCTTTATGAAAGAGGCCCCGTTTCTCGAGGGTTGCCCTGTCCCAAGCACTGCAGGAAAAGCCTGGCATTCAGCATCCTGGGTCCCAGTGATTGTTCTGCAAGTGAGCAGGGAGGGACACTGAGGCAGGGACCGTGAGTAACATGCTCACACAGCCAGTCAGCCCTCCAGCTCCCGGCCCTGGGCTTTTCCTTCCACACCTCTCAGATGAACTCCTCCGACCCGGCCCCACTAGCTGGCTCTGTGACCTTGGTGGGCTGGTGGTCTCCTGCCCCAGGTACTGTTTTTAAGTTGAGGCATAATTTGCACTTAGTAAAGCACACAAATCGTGTCTCGCGTGGCAGATCTGTACATGCACCATCGTCTAGGTTAAGGCACGGGCACTTTCCAGCTCCCGAAGGTGCTTTGTGCCCTGTGGTTACCCCCGTAGGTAACTAAGATCCCTGCCCCCTTCACAGGCATGTGTTGGCCTGTTCTTGAACTTCTTGTAAATGGAATCGTGCACCCTGGACCCCTCTGTGTCTGGCTTCTTTGGTTAACATTATGTTTGTGAGATTCCTCCCCAAGGTTGGGTGGAGCATTGACTTGCTCTTTTTCATTATCGTGCACCGTGCAACAGTGTGCACCTAGGAAGGTGTGCCCATCCTTCCCTGTGGACAAGCATGACAGCTCCCAACCTTTGTCTCTTGATGGCCACCTGAACGTTCACGTTAGCTGTGCGTGCGCCCGGGAATGGGGCTGCCGGAGAGTCCGTGGAAACATCACCTCACCAGCAGGCGCACATGCTGCCCTCGTCTGCATCGCCCTCCTCCAGCGCAGGGGCCCTGGCGGGCTGGGAGAGGAAGGCGGCTGCCCTCGCACGCCCCCAGCCTCCCACCCCCCCACCGAGCCTCACTGAGGGCACCTCCTCTCCTTGCTTCTGTCCCCTGCGCGTCCCAGGGTGAGCTCCACAAGTACTGCGCTGCGTGGGATGAGGCTGAAGTCAGATTCAGCAGCCAGAGCAGCAAAGCCGGGTATGTCACCCCACACCAGCTCCTGGACAACAAGACGGACTGCGGCTGGGCGCCGTTCGGTGAGTTGGTCATCAGGCCATCTGTGCTCGTCCAAGCTGTCCTTTCCGGGTGCTTCTGGCCTTGCTACCTTTAGCAGCAGTTATGCTGTTCTCGGATATAACTGGATTTCCGTGACAGCCGTGTGCTGTCAGGCAGGGATCATGCCGTCTCCAGGGCCCATGTGCAGAGCTCCTGAAACAGGGGTCTACTAGCGGGTAAATCTGGGGACGGTCATTCACGTTTTGTGTGCCAGACGTGGAAGTTAGGACCTGCAGAGCATAAATGTGGGTGGGATAGGCACTCGTGCTGAAGAAAGGCCAGTGTCGCACGGAAAACAAATGGAATAAATCAAGTGCCTGCCCACTGTGAGCAATGGGAACGATGTGAGTATTTAGCGATGATTTGAAAATATGGTGGCTTTGTTCTCTTCTGCAAGAAGCTGACCAGAGGATGTGCTTCTGTATTTTCTATGCTCACAGCCCTCTCTTTCCACTTTCTGAGGATACGCAAAGTTAGAGACCTGGTGTCTTTCGTTTACAGCCCCACTGCAGAAGATAAACTAAACCATACTGAACTTTTCCTGTTGATTTTCCACTCCACGTAGATAAAGACAACTATCAGCAGTTGCTGGGGGCCCTGGACTACTCCTTCCTGTGTGCGTACGCCATCGGGATGTACCTGAGGTAGGTCTGCTCGAGGTCCAGGTCTTCCTGGGTACCAAGTCCACTCAGTGCAGAAAGGACCGAGGGCATGCCATGTACACAGGCATGCATGAGACACGGCCCTGCGTGTGGGGTGCTTCCCTCGGCTTTGTCCTTAGTGTTGATGTGTAATGGGCACGCCGCCGAGCTGTGTGCACCTAGCGGGATGTGGACGCAGAGGATTTAGGCGTCCCGGCCATTCTGCTCACTGGACACAGGCTGCCCTCAGCGCCCCTGGCCCTGGGGTACTGGGATGTGGTCATTTAGGAGCAGGGGACGAGAGGCTGTATGTGGTGCTCAGAGCCCACCCTCTCCTGCAGTTGCCGTAGCCACCATCTGTTTACACGTCCCAATAACGAACTCCAACAGCGGTCAGGACGGCTGAACCAGTACGTGCTGGACGTCCCCACCTAGATGCCCACCCGGGCCCCACGCAGAGCTCTGCGTGCAGCAGAAGGAGCACTGCGTGGCAGGTGGGGGCATGAACTCCAGACACGGTCCCTGACCTACCACCTGCTGGGGGGTGGCCTTGGGAAAGTCACTATACCTCTTTGGTCCCATTTCCAAAATGGGGGAGATCGTAGTTCTTACGTCGCAGGATTGTGGTGAGGATTAAGCGAGTCAATGCACACAGAAGCTCAGAGCAGTGCCCGGCACATGGTTCACACCCAGCCCGTCCTTGATCCCACGCTTAGACTGACCTGGGTGATGGGACATGAGGCTGGTCCATTAAAAACTGGTATCATGTCAGTCCAGGTTTTTTGAAAAAGGCATTATAGAACTATCTTAGTCTGCTTTCTGTTACTAGAATGGAAAACCCAAGATTGGGTAATGTATAAAGAAAAACGGTTCATGTAGCTCAAGATCAAGATCAGGCGGCTGCATCTGGCAGGGGCCTGATGCCGCATCGTGACGTGGTTGAGGCATCCGTGGTGGGACGGCGTGGGAGAAGGGTGCTCGGGCTTACGCGGAAGACACACAACGCAGGGGCGACTTTGTAACGACCCCTCTCGCGGTGACTAACCAGTCTGGAGAGAGCGCACGCCCCCAGAGCCGAGCCCCAAACGGCTCTAGTAGGTAAGGCTCAGGAGGTTAGCTCTTCACTGAATCACACTGCTGTCCAAAAGGAGCGGAGTGATCCTGCCCCAGTGTTTCAGGCCTTGCCTTAAAGCAAAGCTTCTGTCTTTAAAACGGTGAAAGTGCTTGCGGCAGGAGTGGTCGCTGGGGGAGCGGCTGGATGTCATTTCCCGCTGAGCCCGTCCAGTGGGCGCTTTAACACGATGACTTAGTCACAGCTCGCGGGGCCAGCGACTTGCCCAAGGTTATACGTGATCCCTTTCCATGACATCTGCCTGTAGTTTGACAGTTGAAATTTAAAAATACTCTATACATTTACTGGATATTGGTTAAATAAAAGCAGGATTAACTAGCAGGACAAGTTCTTGTTTTCTTTGATAAGTCCTAGTGTTTGAATTTTATTATTTAAGTTAGCGACTTTGACTAGAAATAAAAGTCTTGTAAGATGTTACCAGCTGCTGGTTTCTCGTGAGTCAACGCTCTATAGGGAAATAGCTGCATTGAATCTTCCTGGAAACTATGCCTTAGAGGTCTCAGAGTTCAGAGAACAGCATGGAAACATCCGGAAAGAAACAGCCAGCCGGTTGTTTACATTCTGGGTGTGTTTGTTTTCTCATGTTTGTCTTTCCTTTTCTCCACCCGCAGCGGGATCATAGGGGAGCGCCTGCCGATTAGGTATTACCTGAGCTTCGGGATGCTGGCCAGCGGCGCCTTCACCGCCCTGTTTGGGCTGGGGTATTTCTATGACATCCACAGTTTGGGATTCTACGTGGTAACTCAGGTGAGGGCTGGGTCTACGGCCCACATTTGTAGGCTTCCGTGGTGAGTGGGTAGGTGCCTAGGATTAGGTGAGGGGAAGGGTCAAGACTGTGTCCTGTCCGAGGTCAGGGGCAACTGACATACAGGGTCCTTCCTTTTTGTTCTGCTCCAAAATTCCATCTGCCAGGAGGATGTCTTAGTTTCAGGAGTTGCCTCCTGAAGAATCCTGTTCGTCAGTCCCCAGGCGGGGGCCGAAGCTTCAAGCTCTCATTCTGACTTACCGTGGATAAGTTTGGGACGTTCTGTCCCGCAACAGATTTGACCACTCAGGAGCTGGAAGTTGTTGTCCAGCTGAACTCCCAGCTGGAGTTGCCCCAAAAGCTGTGGCCAGGGAGTTCCCACCAGGGAGTGCCTCAAAGTGTCCCAGGAATGGCTGGTTTGGATTCCAAAGAAAGAGGTACTAGGTGCCAGGAGCCTTTATTAGGAGAACTCAGGTGCAGAGGGGGCTACGTGTGTTTTCTCAACAGACAGCAAGACAAGGAATATTCTACCTGGGTCTGTGTGCAGTGAGGGGTGGGTATGGAGTTGGTGGGTCGTTTTTTTTGTTTGTTTGTTTTTTGAGACAGAGTCTCGCTTTGTTGCCCAGGCTAGAGTGAATGCCGTGGCGTCAACCTAGCTCACAGCAACCTCAAACTCCTGGGCTCAAGCAATCCTCCTGCCTCAGCCTCCCAAGTAGCTGGGACTACAGGCATGCGCCACCATGCCCGGCTAATTTTTTCTATATATATTAGTTGGCCAATTAATTTTTTTCTATTTATGGTAGAGATGGGGTCTCGCTCTTGCTCAGGCTGGTTTTGAACTCCTGACCTTGAGCAATCCGCCCGCCTCGGCCTCCCAGAGTGCTGGGATTACAGGTGTGAGCCACCGTTCCGAGCCTGGAGTTGGTGGGTTTAAGGAATTTGGTTCAGAGCCAGGGCTCCTTCAGTGTTCTGAGCAACAACCTAAACACCTTTATCAGTGCCTGGAAATGTTCGCGAACAGCTTGGGTTTAAGCCTACAGAGAAACCATGCAGCTGGCCGGGTCACAGAGCATCAGGACAGAGAAAAATGTGGGGGGACTGGGGTACCTGCAGATAGTGGTATGCAAGGGTGCAAGGAATGGCTGCCTTTGCAGACACTGGCAGCAGAGCGGGGCAGGAGGCAGTCAGTGTGGAGGGAGGGTCGTTGAAGGTGCCAGAAGGTGGGAAGGCTGGGGACAGCCCTACTGGCTTTGCTCTTCGCGCTGGGCCCAGCCCTTCAAGAATCGCTTGTCTTGAGCCCTTCCTGTTTATTGTGGGTAAATGTTGACCAGCAGTGGAAAATGACCGGAAGTAATGACGCTCAGCTCTGGTTGTGTGATGCTTCTGAGGCTCCCCAGATAGCCCTAGGTGGGAGAGGGAGTTACAAAATCACCAAAGCATATTGTATGCAATTTTGCTCTTTAAGATTTTGCCATAACACTTGAGAAAGGTTGGCTGTTTTGATTATAAAAGTGATTCGTGCTTGTATAGTAATATAGAAAATGAGAAGGAAGGAAGAAACAATTTTCTGAAGTCCCAGCAAGCTCCCGGGGTGAAAGCCAGGCCTGCTAGGCCCAGAGGCAGAGCCAGGCAGACCAGCCACTCCCGGCCGTCGCTAGAGGCCCGGCTTAGTTCGGCTAGGCTGTCACTCACACTAGGCTGGCCCTCGCCTCCTGTAGTCTCGCAGAGTTGCCCCCAGTTCCCAAGACACCAAAGCAAACCCACCCACCAGTGCATTCCCTGAGCCTTTCCTGAAACGCGAGGTGTTCTTGGAAAGCCCAGGATACTTTCCTCGGGTGCTGAGTCAAGACTGTGTTTGTTGCAGAGAAGGGTTAAGGACAGTGCCTTCTTCACAACGTCGTGAGCGAAAACATGCAATCTACAGGCCCTAGTTACAGTACAATTCTATAAACAGTTCTATAAAAGGGAGAAAGACTTTCTCTCCATCACGTTGTGAGGTTCGGCAGAGATGGGGAGGCCTGGCTCCCGGCTGCGGCTGGGCGTTGTCTCCTAGTAGGCGTCTCGGCTGGGCTTTCTTTTCTTGTTCTTCTCTGCTTTAAAATTTCCCCTCTAGGCATGCATTCCTTTTGTATATATGGTTAAAAATATACACGTATAGTTTAAGTTTCACTTAACTGTACAATTTAAAACCAGTCTTTGGCTGTCGAGGCTCACGGAACACAGCGCTGTGCTCCTTTTTGAGAGAGTCCCAGCTCTGCCCCGAGCCTGAGCGCAGGGACCAGCTCCGGAGCCTCCCGGAGACGCGCCTCTGGGGCGCGTTTTCCGCTCGCGCTGAGCTCGTTTTCCGGCCTCTCCCGCAGGTCATCAACGGGCTGGTGCAGACCACGGGTTGGCCCAGTGTCGTCACCTGCCTCGGCAACTGGTTCGGAAAAGGAAGGTGAGAGAAAGGAGCCCCGTTCCAGTAGCATTTGTTTTCTAAAAGATTCTGCTGAAAACGAGACCACTTTACTTTTAGTTCTTCTTTAGACTCATTGCAGCAAAAACTCTTTAACTAGTCTCTTTAAGATGATTGAAACTTGCAGGGCTTGGAGTTCTGAAATTCGGACGCCCGAGCCCAGCCCTCTGTGTGGTGGGCAGGGTTGGTCTGTGCCCCTCAGCTGTATCCCCGACAGCTGCTCTGTCTGCCCTGGCCCCGGGAGCCTGTAAGAATGTGGAGTGCAGGCCTTGCCCAGGACTTTTGAAGCAGAAGCTGCATTTTAACATGGAAGTCTGAGAAGTCCTGACCGAGGGAGCAGAGCTGGGACCAGCTCTGGGGATCGGAGCGCAGCCCCGACTCACCTGCAGATGGCTGTGTAAAAATGCAGCTCAGCCTGGCCAGAGCTCGCGTCGCGGCGGAAGACGGCAAACGGACGGGAAGCCGAGACTGGAGGCGTGCCGTGGGGCCTCTGTCTTAGGTGCTGGGCCCCGTGTGCGTCGGGGCCCTTTTCCTCTTTTTAAGTATAAAATAATTAAGCTCTGAGGAAAGGAATGTGTGATTATACAGCCCGAGGCAAAACAGAAATACCTGTGGCTCTCCTGTGGCCGGGCCTAGTCCTCGTCTTGCGGAAGCAGTGTCTGTCTGCGAGCTCCCTTGCGGACTTCGATGCTGACCCTGGGACACCGTGGCTCTGCTGCGTGCTGCGAGCACCAACCCACCCAGGCTTCTGGGCGCCACCGTGCTGTGTTTGTTGCGTTGCAGGCGAGGTCTGATCATGGGCGTCTGGAACTCCCACACCTCTGTGGGCAACATCTTGGGCTCGCTGATTGCTGGCTACTGGGTGTCCACCTGCTGGGGCCTGTCCTTCGTCGTGCCCGGGGCCATCGTGGCGGCCATGGGGATCGTGTGCTTTCTCTTCCTCATTGAACGTAAGTACGTGAGGCCTCGGAGACCACCCGGCGCGAGAAGCCGTGGGCGCCTTGGCTTGGGGGCGGGAGTGGGCCGCCGCGTGGTACCGCGTGTGCACGGGCTGCTCTTCCTCTTCCTCATTCGTGTGAGGTGGCCAGACTTGTGCAGGTGGCCAGGCTGGCTCTCTCCGTGTCTCACTGGACTTTCTGCTGTTTCCAGATTTCTGAAGTGACCAGTGTCTAAATTCCCGAAAGACCAGTGTCTTTCCCGTTGTCCTGCCCCCACCCTTGCCCAGGGCGTCAGGCGTTGGTGTGTGGGAGTCTCCCAGCTTCCTCCCACCCAGGGTGCGGGCCCAGCCGGGGCTACCCCTGCTCCCCCGTCTGAAACGTACCTGCCGGCTTATTTGCTTTCTGTTAAGATACACCTCAGACAGTGTCATAAAGCCAGGGCATGACTGAAGACGTGATTAATATCTTAGGTAAAGCGTGTCTACCAGAAAATCACATTCCTTGTTTCATTTCAGACTCAATACCAAACCTTTGATTTAATTGAATTAGAAATTAATTTTTAAAGTTGCGGTGCGAGGCCCTGATTTTGAAAGTATTACTAACAGTCGCACGAACGGCAGAGACGCTGGCACTGCCCAGCCGTTCTGTCTGGGGCTCCGATCCCACGAGCTGCCCTGATAGTGGTGTTCCGGGAGAATCGTGAAATCACGTGGGGCCAGGTAACGCCCCACTGCTGACCTCGGGGAGGAGAGCTCCAGCGTCAGCCCTCCGTCCACTCAGACAGCAGTTATATTCGGCTTTGTGTTCAGAACTGAAAAGTGAATGTGTGTTCTATTTAGTTTCTCACTTTTCTCTTCTTGGTAAAGCTAATCTTTTAATTTTTAAAATAACTGCATCTAGCCAAGCTGTGAGGTTTGAGGCCCTCAGGCCCGTCCTCTGTGCCAGCACAGTGGAAATAAGCATTCAGGTGAGGACTGCTCAGCACACCCGCTGCTGGGAGCAGAGGGAGGGCCCGGGCTGCTCAGCTCCCTCTCACCGCGTCCACAGGGGCGGTTCCCGCCCGGCAGCGTCTCACGGTGCCCTGCGCAAGGGCGTTGTCACCGGCAGGGGCTTCCTTGCCAGCGTGCCACGCTGGCTTTCAGCTCCAACTGGCGCATGTCACTGGCGTTCAGGGAGAGGCCACTCCTGCCACCTGTCACCTGCAGAACAATGTGCTTCCTCTTCCTGGTGCCCAGGGGCCCCTGGGTGCGTCCTGCCTGAGGCCAGAGTCCACGGGGACTTTGGTTCCCTTCCTCACCTGGTAAAGGGCTTGGCTCTGGGGCAAAGAGGAAATGCGGTGGAGGGCGGAGCGTGTGGGACAAGGCGCCTGCTGGCGGGTGGGATCGTCAGCTCAGTCACCCAGGAAGGCCGTTGTCCCACTCGGCGCGGGGTTTCCGAGAACAACGCAGCTCTGGTCTTCTGGGCAAAGTCAGAGCCTCCCTCCCCCAGCCACCCTAGTGCTGCTGAGGGGATGCGGCGTGGGTCACGCTGAGAGGTCTGCCCGGACGGGCGCTCCTGGGCCTCCCTCCTGCCCCAGGGCCACCTGCTGCTGTGGCCTCGGGGCCCTGTGTCCCTCCTCCTGGTCCGCTCGGGGACAGGAATGCAGTCTCAGCTTCAGTCTCAGCTTCCTGGGGCCACCAGGCCTGGAAGACTCTTCTGGACGTGTCACCAGAACTGACCCAGGGTCAGATGGTGCCTTCAGAGCTTCCGGCCTCCTGCTTCCTCAGTGCGTTTCCCCCAGCTCTGAACGGGGAAGGGGCCGCCTTGCAGGGGCCGGTGCTTTGGAACCAGAGCCTCAGTGTTGTCCTCCCCACCCCTCTCCTCGCCGCCTTCCTCCAGTCCTGGCAGCTTTTCTTATATGTATTATTACCAATAAGTATGTTTAAGATTACTCCTGTTCCTCACGGTACTGCCACAGATTTCCTCTCCCCTCTCTTCCTTTCGTCCCCACCCCACACCTGCCCTCCCTCTGCCTTCTTCATGCTTCGAGGGACAGAGTCCCCAGTTCTCCCGTCCTGGCTCACTCACGTGGGCGGATGCTCTCTCACCTGCCACGGAGCCTGGCCGTCCTTGTCGTGAAACTCTGGCCGCTCCTGCTCTCTCCCCGAGCTTCCCTGAGGCTGTCCCAGGGCCTGGTGCTGCCGTCCAGCTGGCATGTCCCACAGGAGCCCCCGTCGTGTCCTCCCACCAGGCGCTGGCCATGCTCCGGAGGCCGAGTCCACGGCTTGTATTGGAACCTGCAGTTGCTCTGTGCCTGCGGGGACTGGAGACGTCTCTCGGGCTGTCTGAAGGAGCGGCAGCACCTGCCTGTGCACTGCTGCCTCCCCCTCGCAGTTGGGAGTCTGTGGGGTGGCTGGGCAGTGAATGTCAGCACCCCCGTGGAGTGCCAGGTGCTGTGCCCAGCCTGGCCACACGGCTCTCCGAGGCGAAGCGCTGGTCCTGTGGACGGGGCCGGGCGACCTGCCCGAGGTCAGACGCTGGTTGGGAAGTGGCAGGTACTGGCTCCCCCACTCAAGTTCTCATGGACTTCGGCCCCGGACACCTTGGGTCCTTAGGATGGGGCTTGTGGGGTCAATTAACATTTTTTTTAGTTTATACAATTAAAAAACAAAATTTGTTAATGATAAATGGTATCTTCTCTTGCAGAGATAATCTCATTTGAAACATATTTTTCCACAATGGGAGTTTAGTTTCTTAAGTCATTGTTTCTCAAGTCTGCGTCCCTGGAGCCCTGGGGCTTGAAAGACTATCTTGGGGACTGTAGGAACTCTCTTCTTTCAAAAGCATCTGAACACTATTCAGTTTGGGAAACACTCACTGCCCACTGGTGTCTTCTCAGTAGCTGTCATTCTGTCCTACAATGGGTGAGTAGCCAGTCTCAGAGAGCACCTGTCCCCAGCCACAGCCCACCAGGCCACGTCTCAGCCCAGTCTAGACACTCTCGTCCTCCACTCCCCCTCCTTCTCTACACACCCAAGCACCCGTGGGAGATGACGTGAACGTGCCCATGTCCCAGGTCCCTCTCTTTCCTGTCTAGGACTCCTGGGCACTGGGGAGGCCCCCAGCGGCCCAGAGGAGGTTGGCCAGGCCTGTGGCCTCCCTGTCACTCTGGTGTTTGGCTTCTGAAAGCCACCAATTCCCACTGTCGGCTCCCACCCCTCGGCAAGGAGGCCCTGGCCCCCACTACTCAGATCCGCCCCATGGCCAGGGAGCCCAGAACCTTCAGGGACACCCATGCATCCTCTGTCTCTAGGGCTGTGGGCCTGAAGGGCGTCTCCACCCACGTTCCTGGTTTTTATAGGGACCCCTAGCTATTCTCTCCTGTGTGTTTTGCCTCTGGGACTTCCCTTTTGAGCAGCCTGTCCAGCCAGTCCCCCTGGAGGAGCCTCCCCTCGTGCTAGGCCCAGCTGTCCAGCGCCCCAGTGTCTCTGCTTGTCTGCACGGGCAGGGAGCTCGGTCTGCAGGCTCCGGACCCCTGTTCTGCCTCACCCAAGCTGGGCTCTTGTCAATGGTCTGGGGCAGGCACGATGATCCAGATGTCCCCCATGCCCGGGTCGGCTCTGGCCAGAGGGCATGCTGAACTACAGAGGGCTGTGCAGGACAGAATAAGCCCACTAGAGCCTCCTGCCCAGGGAAGTAGCATGGTATCTCGCCCCTGTGGCTGGGAGGTCGACTGTGTCTGAGTGTTGAAAGAGCTGTCAGCAGTGATGAGCAGTGCCGCGTGCAAGAACAGCTCTCTGCAGGCAGGGAGAAGTGTCGGGTGTGCCGCAGTTTGTTTCTGCTCCCTCCTTGTCCCTAGTCACTGGCCCTGATTGGGCTCTAAGGACACAGGTGCCCTGTTCTTGTGGCCAGAAAAGGTGGGCTCTCCTGCTCCTTCACTCCTTTCTCCAGCCCAGGGAGAGCCCAAAAGACAGGTGCCCTCCGAGACACCCACCCCTGCTGTCTCAGTCTCTCTGGGTGTGTTCTGTGAAGCTGTTCTCAGGCGTGTCCCAGCCGGGGGACATGCGTGCTTGTGCCCTGCAAGGCAAGAGCTTAGGAAGAGCCATGTAGTGGGACTAGCCACACCTCACAGCAGTGGGGACCCCTGGCTTACCCCTGGGGGGCATCACAGGCTGGGTGAGTGACCTCACTGGGGAAGACTAGGTGAGCTGGCTGGCGTCACTTTACAGTGGTGCCTGGACCCCACAGGTGGACCGTGGAGACTGCCCAGCACACCGACCCCGCGTCCCTGGTGAGTGACCTTGGCCCTTGGGCTGTGCCCAGCGGGGAGTCTGTGTTTCAAGGTGGTAAACGATTTTATCAAAAGCCTTGAAAAGCCCAGGACTTCGGGTGGGCGGAAGGACGGGAGCAGAGGCGTTTAAACACAGCCTTCTGGAGTCCAGGGAAGCGGCAGGGCTGGTTCTCGCAGACCCGCAGGGTCCCTCGTGCAGTCTCAGGTTGCTGGCTGCATTTTGAAGTAACAAGGTAGAGCCTAGATCTGTCTTGTTCTTCCCGCATTTCCTCCCTTTTTCACATTTACAAGAGACTTTTTGTTCTGTATCAGGGTAGATGTTTTGTCTCCACTAATTTTCATTTCCAGTGAATTCCATAACATTAAATAACTCATTACGGTGTTACTCTAACCTCACTACTCTGATGTGCCCGTCCTGTTTTTGTGTTTCCTTCTGTGCTTTAAGCGTGTGCAGAGTGGCCTGTCAGCACGGCGTGCCCGTGCGCTGCCTGAGTTTGTTGGCCACGCTGTGGAAGCGGTTTCCGTATCACAGCGGGGTTCCTTTCATGGTCTTTGGCACGTGCTGGTGGTGACCTGCCGTGTCCTCCTGCTTCCGTGGGGGGTGATGGGCTGGCCCAGTGGTGCCCTCACCCCTATCTGGTGTGCTGTGGTGACGGCTTTTTTCATAAATGTGTGCCAATTTAGCAAAAGTGTAAGACGGTAACTTGTTTCTCTTAAAAATAAATGTTGTGTCTATTTAAGGTGTGCAACAGGGTGTTGTGGGACGGGGAGTGAAAAGCTACGACTAAAGTGAACAAGTTAATGCAGCCACCAACTCACATAGTTTCCCTTTTGTTTCTCGTTTTTGTTGTAAGAGCAGCTAAAAGCTATTCACTGAACCTGAGTCCCGAATAGAGCACGGCGTCACCACCTCGAGCCGTGCCTAAGATCTCTGGGCTGGCTCGGCGTCGCATTGCCGTGGGTTTCCTTCCTCGCGTTGGTGACCGAGTTCGGCATCCGACTCCCATTTCCTCTTTCAGATCCCAAGGACGTCAGGTGCTCCTCCACGCTGTCCACGGTAAGGACCTGCCCTCCCTGTGTTGCCGTCTCCCGGGAGCCGTGCCGGGCGCTCCTCTAGCCTGGCTTTGTCTGTGCAGTGTCGGTGGGAATCAAAGAAAGTGTGGACAAGTGTCCGACCCTCCAAATACTGGCCATTCCCGGAAAGGGTTGATAACCTTATCAACAAAAACCGAGATGAGGTTCGACAACCATCCAGGTGGAGGACTTCCGGCCCAGGGTGACCAGAGGCTGGGCCTGGCCAAGTGAGGAGCTCTGGCTTTCCCCAGGGGTCCCAGCGTGGCTGGAGAGAAAGGTGTGGGTGAGCAGCTGCCGTCCACCCAGCGCGATGTTCCCTCCCTCCTCCCTCTGCTCACGCCCAGCCGGGGAAGGCCCTGAGGTCGGGACTGCCCACAGCGTAGCCCCATGGCAGAGCGCTTGCCCTGCCACCTCCCCACAAGGCCAGCCCTCCACTTGGCACCAGTGCCCTCCCCTCCAGTGGCCTGTGGCCCAGGCTCCTGCGTCACCCCTGCCCTTCTCCCCTCCAGTACCACTCTGGTGCACATGTAGCATTCACCACCATCTTGGAAGAAAGCCTCTCTGGCCCTCACACCCGCCCCAGGCGGCCCCTCCTCTCCACAGGCCTCTCCATCCCACTGAAACAGCCTGTCCAGGTGCCCAGCAGTTTCACGTGCACATGCTGTGGGCAGCTCCCCTGCCTCATGCCACTCAACCTGCCACCTGCACCGACAGGGTGGTTTCCTCCCGCTCTGTGCAGTCCTCTCCTTGGGCAACACGCCGGCCACGCCTGCGCAGGGGGCTCGCTGGCGCCTTCTCCTCTGCCAGACCCAGCGTGGGGCCCCCCCGCCGCTCTCTGCCAGACCCCAGCGTGGGGACACCCCCGCCACTCTCTGCCAGACCCAGTGTAGGGGCACCCCCGGCACTCTCTGCCAGACCCCAGCGTGGGGGCACCCCTGGTCACTCTCTGCCAGACCCCAGCGTGGGGGCACCCCTGGTCACTCTCTGCCAGACCCCAGCGTGGGGGCACCCCTGGTCACTCTCTGCCAGACCCAGCGTGGGGGCACCCCCACCGCTCTCTGCCAGACCCCAGCGTGGGGGCACCCCTGGTCACTCTCTGCCAGACCCCAGCGTCGGGGCACCCCTGGTCACTCTCTGCCAGACCCCAGCGTGGGGGTACCCCTGGTCACTCTCTGCCAGATCCCAGCGTGGGGGCACCCCTGGTCACTCTCTGCCAGACCCCAGCGTGGGGGCACCCCTGGTCACTCTCTGCCAGACCCAGCGTGGGGACACCCCTGGTCACTCTCTGCCAGACCCAGCGTGGGGGCACCCCTGGTCACTCTCTGCCAGACCCCAGCGTGGGGGCACCCCTGGTCACTCTCTGCCAGACCCCAGCGTTGGGGCACCCCTGGTCACTCTCTGCCAGACCCCAGCGTCGGGGCACCCCCGGCCGCCCTGCAGCCTCTCTTCCCCTTGCCGGCTCCCAGGCCAGGGCTCCCGCACTCCCGTAGGTGTGGTCTCCCCCAGCTCCAGGGTCACAGACCCTCCGCCCCTTGACCTCCCCGGGACACGCCTGGCTGTCCTCAAATTTAACATGACCAGAGGAGACTTTTGATTTCACCCCTAAACCCGTGATCCCCTGGCATCCCCATTTTAGACAAGGAGCTGTTGTCACCCCACGGACAGCCAGGCCCACGGGTCACCCAGCTCCCCCGTCCCTCATTCCCATACCCCGTCCTTCGCCAGGTTCCCTCTGTTCTGCTCTGGGTTTGGGTTGGGGCTGTGGAAGGGAGACCCTCTCACCTCCCCCTCCATGGTCCCAGACTCCACCTCCCTCTCTCCTGCGAGCCGCTGCTCATCAGCCTCCTGGGGCAGCCGCTCTGCACCGCTGACGTCCCTTCTTCACACGTCACTCACAAAGACTTTCTTGAAACAGAAGTCAGAGCAAGCACGGCCTTGCTTAACCGTAAGGTCATCCAGCGGCTCCCACTGCATTCAGCATCAAGTCCCCTTTACCTGTCTGCGGCGTCTCCCGCGGACCTGTAAGCCCGGGGGCGGGCCCTCTGGGCCTGCACTGAACCCGGTCCTGGGCACTGCCCGGGGCTGTCGACAGAGGGAGCCAGAGAGCTCACTACCTGGGCCTCTCCGAAGATCGTTTTGTTATGATTTAGACCAGTGTGAATAAATAACATCTTCCTGAGTATAGAATCTTTATTTCAAAGGAAGTTCGTATTTCATAAACAAAGAACAATGAAAATCTTACTGTTACAGAATTTCAAGAATCATTTTTGACACTGTTAATTATCTTCAAAGGGCTTTCAGCATCGAGACTTTTAGGAATAGTGACCAGGAAACGGCACCTTTATTTAGCGCCCAATAAACTGCCTTCATTTCTTCCTCTTTCCACTTGGAAATGGGAGGTAATTTTTGAAATGACTCTCTGAGTTTTGGAGGCAGCGGTGTCACCGTTTCTCGCTCCCTGCCCCTAGCGGTGAACTGCCTTCCATGGTGTGTCCTTCCCTCCGCATCCGTGGGCTGACTTAGGAAGGCCTGTGTCCTCGCTGGCTAAAGGAAAGCCTCGGTCTGTTTTACTTTTAAATGCCTTTTCATTTCAAAACCATTAAAAAGTTTCAAGGCCATTAAGGAAAGTTAAGTTACCTCAATCAGCATTTTTACTTTCGTTATACCTTGGTCTTGGCTATTCCTCCAAGAAAATGTTTTATATTCACATTCTGTTATCTGAGAGTCTGGGGCCCTGAGATGAACCTGATCGGCCCACTGTTTTATGTAAATCATTTGTGTTATTTTCTCTTGGTAGCTTTTTTTGTGGAGATAGTATCCTTGCTGTAGTAAAGTTAGGTTTAATTTCTGGTTGTTGATTCAGTAATTGCTCTAATTACATTTTTTTCTCCCAGCATTCCAAAGGCTATGAGAATGGCACGAACAGATTCAGACTCCAGAAGCAAATCTTAAACAGCGAAAAGAACAGGCCTCTGGTAAGTTTCGAGTGACTTCCACCTCCTAGCATGTCAGAGCGGCAGGAAAAGGCCTTCAGGCCACGTCGGCCGTCTGTCCCTCTGCCTTGGTGACATGTGTCACAGATATCTAGAGTCTCATTGCATTTCTTCAGAAAATTTTGAGTTTGCCCTTATTGACTTTCTTTGCATGGCAAGATGACTGACTTTATGTTTTGTAATCACATTTGAAAGTGATTCATTCACGTAACAACTATCTGCACCTGTCAGTGTCCCAAGCACCGTTCCAGGCTGGTGGGGGTCGGGCAGCAGGTGCAGACAACGAGCAGAGATGATGTCGCGTGGCACCACGTGCCAGGAAGGCAGGGTGAGCAGGCGCTGTTCCCAGCGTGGCCTCTGCCCAGGCTCCCCCAGCAGGTGACGTCGGGGCTGAGCTGTGCAGAAGGGGAGGGGAGAGCACAGGTGCCGGGCGGAGGTGGGAGGTGCACACAGCATTGACATCGTAGACCAAGAACAGGTGAGGGAGCAGCAGAGAGCATAGAGTCGCCTTCCCCCCCTCCTCTGTTCAGCAGACAAGGAAGTCAAGGCACAGAGATACCTTGCCATCTGCGGTGGTGGGGAGGCCGCCTGCAGGCCCAGCATCGCCGCCCACTCTTCCTGTTCAGGATACTTCTAGAAGCGCCTCACGTTACTTCTGCTTAGCCAACTACACTAAGCCACGAGGGACATTTTAGATTTGGTTTTAATCATTGAAATGATAAGCTATTTTCTTTTCTCTTTTAAATCAAATAGCTGAAAGGATAAATGTACTAAATGTGCTTCTAACTTTTTTCTTTATTGCCTAGGGAAATTTATTTGTGGTGGTTGAAGTATTAGAAGAGGGAAAAATGATGTCTCATACATCTGGGTCCTTGGATGTTGGGGAGAATGTAGGCAGTGACTGATTCAACCAAAATGCTTTAAAATCTGGACTCACTTCTGAGTTTCGTTAAAAAGAAACATGTCTAACTCAATGCCCACACGGCTGTGACTCCTCTCTGACGATATTGAAAGCGTACCTTTTCCTCTGAGTGAAGACCACAGGCCCTTTGTCCTGCTGTGGTTACTGACCCAGAAAAGCAGCCCTGGTTTCTAAGTATAGCTCCCTCTTTCCTCTTCTGTCCCTTCCATGAACGAAAGCTTGTCACTCACGTGCCGCCAAAGACCCAGGTGCATACTTGGAGGCCCTCTGGGTCTCATTTCAGATGACCAGGACGAGGCAGGTGCTACCTTGCCCCCTGGATCTGCTTTTAGCAGGCCCCTGCCGCTGGCCCTTGCTCTTGGGTCAGGGTCAGCAGGCAAGTGTCCCACGAATTTGGCCGGACACTCTGGCTGTCCCTTTCCTGGAGTGACCCAGCTCAGAGGCACTGGGCTCAGAGTGGGGTGTTGCCCCTCCCCCAGCCTCTCCCACTCTTCAGACAGGCCCGCTAAAGTCTCTCTTGCTAGGCATGATTCTGAACCCCTTAGTGAAGAAATGTGTAAAGAAAGGGAAGGAGGGAGCAAATCTGAAAAGGAGAAAGAGGTTCTGGGAGCACATGGCCATGTAGCGAACCCTCCTCAAGCCCTCGTGGGTTTTTTAGATGGTATCTTGAGATGGTCGTACTTGCCCTCCTCAGCTTCTCTGAGGATCCCCTGATGGGCTGAGGCCCAGCTCCTGGTGGGCCACCAAACACCGAGCACTGCCTGGGCGCTCGGATGCCGCCGGCTGTCCAGCTGGCTCGCTGCATGCCAAGTGGGAGTCCCCGTCTCCTCTGGGACGGCTTTTCCCGCAGTGCAGCTGCAGACAGCAGGGGCAGCGGGGCGGGCTTAGCACGTCCAGATCAGAGCAGTCATGGCACACACGGCCCGCGTGCTTCAGTGTGTTTGCTTTTTGCTGTTTGCTTGTGTGCGCGCGTTAGTGGCCGGAGCCCTTCTGCTCTTTGAAGGTGTAAGCTGCAGGGTGGAAAGCGCTGGCTGCAGAAGCCCCGCCCCCACGGAGGCTCCACAGATCCCGGATCCCGGCTGCAGGTGGAAAACAGCTTGTTCAGAGGCAGAGAGAGGCCACCCTGGCCTCCAGCCTGGTGTCTTCGCCCGCCAGAGGTTCCCTGTTTGCTGTTGAGGGGAGACAAACATGCCCTCGTGTTTGTTTTGGAAAACCAGCCACGACCTCACACTTTCTTTCCCATCACCTTTAGGAGCAAACTACTGGGATTTGGTGGCTGTGAGCACAGGGCCCATGCTCCAGAAAAACAGCCTTGCCTGTCTAGGCGGCTTCTTACTGCTTAGCTCAGGAGCAGAGGTTCTGGGTCTGTGGCTTTGAACCAGCCTAGCAGGCAGGTCCCTGGAGCACTTTATAAATCCAGGAAGGGCCATGAGTACACCCAGGGCACCTGGGCTTACCTGTGGCCAGGTAGGTTTTCCGTGGTTGGCCTGTGGTCGGCCTGTGGTCATTGTTGTCTGGGTCACGATGCTCCTGTCCTGGCTGAGCAGGCTCTTTTCACTTTATTTGTCCTCCCCACTGGCCCCCTTTCATCCCCTGCTTGGCCTACTTCGAGCTTGGTCGTCTATGAGTCCTGCAGCTCTCCGCTTGGTGCACATGGGACGGCCCTGGGGCTGCTCCCTGAGGCTGCTGTAGTTGGGCTGGGGACAGCCGGGACATCAGGGCTTCTCCAAGTCCCCCAGGAGACTCCACTGTTTACCCATGGTTGAGAATTACCTATTTGGTCTCCTAAACTGGACAGTTAGCATAATGCATGAGAGAATAGTTTATTCCCAAACTCAAATCATGGTTCTTTGTTGTCATATGCCTTCATGGAATTGTCACTGGGAAGATATCAAGCTTTTACACTAGAGTTTTGTCCTCTTCGTGCCGAAACATCAGAACATATGGTTAAATGTGGAGGTGTTCATCAGAGATGAGCTCTTGATGCCTAGGTCCTGGTCAGGAAGCCGGGCTTCGCGGGGACACAGGTCCTGGGCTGCCCCGGGGTCACGCGCTGGGTGCCTGGTGCCCAGATGGGACGGCACTCACCACCTGGTCTTTGAGATTTCTGTTTCCACTGTAGGAGAATTCTAAATATCAGGAGGAAGGGATGTGGAATGCATTGCCATTTTCATTTTCTTTTTTAAAAATTTAACTGCATTTTGAATCCAACATATATAGGTTATGGTGAGATAAACACAGTAAAACCTTTTTGGGTTTCTGGAAAGTCTGAAATACATAGAGGCATTTGTCTTTAAGTCCTTGAGCTTTGTAGTTCATTCAGAAAGAACACTGCTCTGACTCAAAACCCCACCCTGACTTGGGGAGTCACCTTCTTTGCTTTAATGAATGCAAACTTTGTCCTTAGAAATGTCCAGTCTATCAGAATTCACAAACATCGGAATTGGTTTGTGAATTTAAAATAATGGTGTTATTTCCTATAATGTGTATCCATTGTGAACTCCTAAAAGATATAGGATCTTGTGAAGAATTTCTTATTGGCATTTACATAAAAATCACACATAATTCCACCACTCAGTTGTAACCACTGTCAGTTTAGATATTAGCTTGTCTGTAGAAACAGCTCCTATAGTTACCCACTTATATAGGTAGGTATGTAAACATTCTTTGACATTATAATGGACATACAATTTTGAATTATGTATTATTAATATTTAATGTGTCATAAGGATTTCTATGTCACTAAAATATTTCAAACTTTTTTTCCAACTGCAGTATGTCATTTATATGGATGTATTTTAATTAATTTTCCGATTTTTCTCAATAGTGATGTAACATCCATTTTATTGTGTTTTTTCATTTTTCAAAAATAGATTCCTAGAATTTCTGGATCAGAGGATTTTGTGTGTTAATGGTATTTCACAAAAACGCGCGAATGCTAGTGATTATAAAGCAGTGACTGTGGTGAGGGTTTATCCAAGGTGTCCCCAAGATGCTAGTGGAAAACGGAATCGTCCAGCGACTTAGTTTCAGGAATCCTGGCCTCACTTCAGCCGGGTGGCCCGCTGGTGACACTGATCTGTCTTCTTTTCATGGGTCCATCTCCAGGACCCAGAGATGCAGTGCTTGCTGCTGTCGGACGGGAAGGGCTCCATCCATCCCAACCACGTCGTCATCGTCCGGGGCGACAGTGGAGGCGGCACGGCGGCCATCAGCTTCACAGGCGCCTTGAAAATCCCAGTAAGTAACGGCGCCTTCAGAGAGTGTCAGAAAGAGCTACTGGTGCTGGCTGCGAGAAGTCTGTTCCGTTGATGATCAAACTTAGAAAAAGAAATCTATGATTATAGACTCCGTGGATTAGAAAGACATAGCTCAAACCATTAGGACTGAATATGGCAGCAGTGATGTTTTGTTTGCCTCATACTGTGCTTAAATGTTTTTTAAATTAGTTTTCTCCATTTAGAAATTCAGAAGGCACGTAGAATTTCTGAAATAAGGCTTCCTGCCTTCACTTGAAAAACAGACAATCTGGCTGCACTGGGCCTGCACCCCATGTGTCAGAGGCTGGGGAGCCCCGCCTCTCCCTGGTGCATGTGCTCCCCTCCCGAAGGCCTTGAGTGTGAGCTCCAGGGCCCCGCCACTGGGTCCTCTTCTGGGGCCTTAGGAAAGCCCAGCTCAATTTTCTTTTCCCTCTGAAGTACCTTTAGTCACACAAACCGTGGTCTGATTGCCCCGGGCATGTAGGGGAAAAATATAAGCAGCTGCAGGAAGAGAAGCAGTAGGACCCAGGCATTTGGCTTGCTGGTCCCCAGTGGGCGGCTGGCCCTGCCCCTGTGTGGACAGCTGGCCCTGCCCCTGTGTGGACAGGCGTGCACAGCGCCCCTCAGTGGGGGAGCCTTTGCAGCGGGTGGGGGGGGCGGGGTATGCGACACTGAGATTTCTTGCTGGTTTGGATTTCTCTTGTATTAAATCCACGGTCTCCCTGGGCAGTGATTCTGAAGAGCTAAGCACAGGACGTGGAAAAGCAGCATTCTCTGACAGGGTGAGCCACAGAGGGTGACAAAGGCAGGGCCAAGAGCCAGAGCAGGTGGGGGACAGGCCCTGCTGTGTGGGCTGCGCCGGGCTGTCCAGGCCCTTGTGCTGCCAGGCCCGTGCCCGAGGGCACCGACAGCCACACGTGGCTCTGCTCACCGGTGAGACCGGCAAGAAAGGCAGGGCCGGGGGGCGAGGGGGGGGGAGATGCTAGAAGTATAAACATTAAAATAACATCACGGAAATGAAAGGGCTGCCAACTTCTGCTTCAGAACAGAAACCACCTTCCATGCCCAGAAGAAACTGGGTCTGCAGAGGCCGCCCCTGGAGCCGTCTCAGCCGGGGCCGAGCGGTAGAGCCCAGGCCCGGGCACTAGCACCCTGGGGAGGTAGCTGCGGGTTGGCTGTGGATGTTGCTGGTTTTAAACGAGAAGTTATTTTTAAAATCATGTTCTTCATAACAACTAGTAACCTTTGCTGTACCTCACTCCACAGCTGCCCCGAATCCTTTTGCTAAAGTAGGGTGCACACAGGCTACATAAATGCAAGTTCCACAGTGGCCTTGTGGACAGCTCAGGTGTCACTGGCCTGGCCTAGCTTAACCCTCGCCCTGCCACTGCGGAGAGGGGGTCCCAGGCCAGCATGGTGCGGGTCTGGGCCACTGTCTCCTCATCTGCAGTTCCTGCTCCGTGCCCGGTGTGATCCTTTGTGCTGTGAGGAGGCAGCGTGATCACAGTGCCAAGCACAGTGCCAGGCGCGGGCACGCGTGCAGGAGATGGCACACGCCCTCATACTGGCGCGTCAGCGGGAGGACAGCGAGGCGCTCAGTTTTGGCATGATGTGGGGAGATTGAGTGCTGTGCTCCCGGCCCAGTTCTGATGGTGGTGCTGTGCCCAGACAGCGTGGGGCTGGGCAGGGGCAGTGCCGTGCCTCAGTGGCACTGGATCTTCTCACTCAGAGTTTCCAAATGCAGTTGTCATCTCACAAGTGCCACCTCCTTCTAAAAGCAGACAAACAATGAAACACAAACAGGCATTTCGCAGAACTCACCAAACTCCAAACCTCATCCCCGTTAATCCGTTTTCTCTTCTCGATGTTCCAGCGCCGGCTGGTTTGTTAGGCACAGTGGGGCACAGGGCAGCGCACAGGCCCGCGTGTCGGACAGACGGGCGGACTGAGTGCTCGGTGTGTTTCCAGGTCACTGACCACTTGCAGTTTCAGTTCCAGGGAAAAAGAAATGGCCATTAAATGCTTAGTAACCAGGTGACTCCACCATGGCTGTGAGCCACAAAAACTCCTGGATTAGCTAAGTTTTCTGAGTGATGCAGGATAAGAATCAAACCAGTACATTTTTACTGACTTTAATCTGATGCAGAGACGTTCGGTTTCAATCTTAAAAGGCAGCCTCCATTCAGAAATTCACAGATTTCTTAGACAAATAGAGTTTCCTATCTTCACTTGAAAAAAGACAATCTGGCTTTACGGGGTGTCTCCCCCACATGACAGCAGTAGGGGGCTGAGTCTGTGACCCCCAGACCTCTTAGGGCAGCGCCCCCCACCCCACCCCCCACCCCCGTGCACCTGGCGGCCATGGGCTTCCCTCTGTCGGCCCCTCCTCCGTTCCATGTCCTCGCCGCACCGTGCGGCCATCCTCACCCTCTCCCGTGCGTGTCTGTGTGCGGAGGCCAGGCCAGACGCAGGGTGCTCCCATGGGGACGAAGCGTCTGTAACGCTTGTGTGTGCACAGACACCTGCCAGGTGCACATGTGAGGGTAACACCGGCTCTCCCTTCCAGGGCGTGATCGAGTTCTCGCTGTGTCTGCTGTTTGCCAAGCTGGTCAGCTACACGTTTCTCTTCTGGCTCCCACTCTACATCACGAACGTGGGTGAGTGACTGCCGCTGGGACACACTCGGGACGTCTGGGCAGTGGCTGTGACCCGAGCTGTGTTCCATCTGCTGGTCTCCGTAGTCTTGGGAACGCAAGGCCACACGTGGTGATCTGGGAGGCATGCTTCTGAATTAAACACATGCCTGAACATTGACAAAGAGAATTTGGATATGCAAGTTTTATTGCCATAGTGATAGCCCCTATGGTGTTTAAAGGTGGACTTGTCATGTCCCAGCCATGGCTGCCAGCTCCATGGGGTGCTTCCTATAACGGGACAGCCTGAGTTTGAATTTGGGCCATGCTAGACTTCGGATCACAGCAACACAAGGCCTCTGGGGTCTGAGCTAATCAGGCCTGGAAACTGCTTCTGGGAAATGCGCCCTAATTTTAGGGAGGCCTGGTGGTTTGTCTTACATTTTGAAAGTCCCACAGTGGCTGTAGCTATAGACTATGACAGAATATACTAGTAAAATAATACAGGCACACCCCGTATTGTGTGCAACCACAACGGGAAAGACAAGAGGCCATGGGCAGCTCTCAAGCGAAGGGGACATGAGTGGAGGAGGCTGAGGGGTGGGACGGTCAGGGCACACGCGGAGCCTCCCGGCCCAGGGAGCAAGGAGGAGAAGGGACCGGGGTCAGCAGGGAGGTGCAGGCTCTGGCGACGCAGCTGGGACGTGCACAGACCACATGTTCCCCATGGGAGCAGAGATTGACGGGCGCCCGAGGCTGGAGGGCTGGACACCCAGGTGGAAGTTGAGGCGGTAGTGAGGGGACCACCTACAGGCACCCCCAGCAGGGACAGGGCGGGCAGGTAGGTGGCAAGGAGTGCCCTGGGGTTCAAGGTTCCTCCCATGTCCAGCGGCCCCGCCTCATTTCGGCAGGTGAGCTGCACATGGTCTGGGCTGGGCGGGCCTTGGCAGACAGGCCATGTGCGGTCTCTCTTCCTTTATTCCCCAGGGATGACAAAAGAGGGCGTTTTTAGGACTCCAGGCTCGAATCACTAGCATTCCCAGTCTGAGTGAGTGAGCCAAAAGAGCCGCGCTCCCTGTGTGTGCGGCTGAGGTTTAGGCAGGACCCGTTTGACGGACGGCCCCAGCTGCTCCCCAGAGCGCAGTTCTCATGTGCGGGCCGACCTCAGTCCAGCTGGGAGCTCAGGGCCTGGGCCGGATCTGGTGCAGAGTCCCGCCAGGGTGTCCTGAGGCCGGGCTTTCCTTATGTATAGCATGACAAGGTCCCAGTCCCTTCTGTATCTGAAGTCTCCTGGTCACACGGTGTGTCGAGGCGCCTGGGCTTGTTCTCCAGGCGGGTTTCACGGCCACTCTGGCCTGTGTCGATCTAACTTGGGCACTGCCCGAGGGGCCGCTGAACCAACCTGGGTGGTAATTAGCCTATTGGGTCCCCACCCCGGTCTGGGTTTAGAGCGTTTCATCCTTTCTGTTCTCCTCATTTTTCTAATCTGAGTTAACCGGTGATTGCTACTTGGTGTAAATCATGCTCATGGAACAAGAGAGCCTTGCGTGGGTCTCATGCTACCGCGAGGGGGCGCCCTCCCTGACACTCAGGGAAGAGCGTGTCCTCGTGAACTCACACTGTGCTGTCTGTCTTCTTAACAGATCACCTGGATGCCAAAAAAGCAGGGGAGCTCTCCACCTTGTTTGACGTGGGCGGGATCTTCGGTGAGTTCACGGCCACTCGGGCAAGGCTTTAACGGCACTGTAAGCACCTGTGGCCCCCGAGCTCCCTGAGTTGCCTGCTGCTGAGGGGGACCGGTGTTCCCCAAGTGCACTCAGCCCCACAGTTAGGCCATCACTGGGGCGGGGGTTCCTCCCTCTCTTCCTGGGCCCTGCATCTGCATTTGAGTGGCTTCCTCAGGGACAGCACGCCTCCCCAGGAGGTGACAGGCTGGCAGTGTTCAGACCCTAACAGGCGAAGGGGCTGTGGGGCTGGCCTAACACCCCAACCCCAAGGCCACCTGCTCCGCTGGGCAGGGCCTCCAGCCCCGCACCTCTGACCACAGCGAGGGCGCCTGCTAGGCAGTCAGGCCCGGGAAGGCCGCCCGCTGGTGGTGCACGAGAGAAGGGTTAGGAAAGGAGACGTTCCCCAGCTCCTGCGATGGTTCCTCCCGATGGGCTCACCCCGGACGAGGCGCCTGAGCCTGCCCCTCTCCCTTGCAGGTGGAATCCTGGCGGGTGTGATCTCAGACCGGCTGGAGAAAAGGGCCTCCACCTGCGGCCTTATGCTGCTGCTCGCAGCCCCCACGGTCAGCCCCCATCTGCGCCCCGACGCCACACACAGCCTCCCCACTGTCCTCCCTGCCGGTGGCACCCGCCTCCATCTGGCCCACACTCTGCTTTCCTGGTGGCTCCTACCTCCTGGCCTTGAATCCCTCCCTGGCCTGGTGGGGCTCCCTCCACGCCACGCCCACCCCTGCACATGCGGACGTCCACCGTGGGCCACGCACAGGCTGCTCCTGTCCTTGGGGCGCCCCCTTGGGGCCCCCCCTGCCCCGACAAGCTCGGGCTCTGCCATCCTGTGGGATGCCTGACACCCACCCAGCCCCCAGGCTTATGGACCCCTCCCACCGTGACACCGATTCCTGCTACTTTCCAAGCTCATGACCTTGGGCAAGTCACTTCCCCTCTCTGTGCCTCAGTTTCCTCATATGAAAAACGAGAATGACAGTAGCACCACCTTATAGTATAGCCGTGAGGATTAAATTAAATAATAGCAGCTCATTACTGTCTTTATCCTGACACCTTTAGAGGTAACCTCATTGTGCCTCACCTTGCGTTGTCTTGTGTGCACATCTGCTCCCCACGAGGCTGTGGCTGTCCCCGGGGCAAGGCCCAGTTGTCAGGCATCTTGGGGCCTTGGATGCTGCCTGACACAGGCACGCAAAGGACATTTAGAAAAGACATGACTGAGCGGGCCCCTTGCCGTGAGGACTCTCGTGCCACCAGGCGCAGCCGTTCAGGGCAGACGCACACCCGAGGACTCCGCAGTGAGACTGCAGATGAGCTCAGGGAAGGCTGCCTGAACCGAGCACGTCAGTGTGGTGGGCGTGCCCCGCAGGGCCCCCCAGGTCGCCTGGGGCACTTGGTCAGAACCCGCACTGCTGGGACAGGGCCCAGTGCCTCTTTGCCAAGCACCCTCTGGTGCTGTCTTCGGACAGGCTAGGCAGGGGATGTGGCCTGTGCTCTTTTTTTAGGGGTTTTCACTCTCAGTGGGCTGTCAGGAAATCGCCTCCCTTCTGCCAGAGTGTAGATTTCTGGGCCCTCCTGCTGCCCAGCGAACCATCGCTTTGCCGTGTTCTCGCTCTCTTCACAGCTCTACGCGTTCTCCGCCATCAGCAAGATGGGGCTGGAAGCCACTGTAGGTGAGTCCACGAGGCCTTTCTTTCCTTTCATGCGCATTTTTTGTTTGCACAGCTTGGTGAGGTGAAATATGAAAATCAACAAAGAAGCATTGAGCTGGTATAACTGGAGACATAGTGTGGCTGAAATTGGCCCCATGCCCCTTTTTGGGGGAGGCCATCAGAAGAGGCTGGGGGCTCCTGCTCCCAGGGGAAAGGCCTGCCAGTCTGCAGGTGTGAGGCCGAGCGTGGCAGAGTGCAGGCCCGCCGGGCAGGGGTGAGCCTGGGCGCCTAGGGGAAGGAGCCGCTCAGAGGACCCAGGTGTAATCTGGAGGGCAGCCCCTCCTGTGGTCTCTGCGGGGCTGGCGGGGCTGCAGCAGCCCAAGACCTGCACCCCTGGTGGTGAGAGCAGCCCAGACTAGCTTCTGGGCCATGGCAGGTGGCCAGGAACCTGGCGGTGTGACTGAAGCAATGTCCAGCCAGGTGCCAGGGCAGAGACAGGCTCCCAGTCCACCTCTTTCTACCTGGCTTGTCAGCCACCACTTGCGGAGTGGCTGCATAATGTCGGGGGACTGTTGGTTTCCTGCAGGCAGCGATATGGAATCATGCCTCCAACACTTAGCAGACGTCCCTGCTGTCCCCAGCAAGCCGGGAGCGGGGACGTGTGCAACCCCACTAAAAGTTATCCGGAAAGCAGTGTGCGAGGGGAGCAGGGGCTCTCCTGGGACCCTCAGGCAGAAGTTTCCTCCCAGGAATGAACTCAGAGCTAGTTTGGGAAGGCCACCTTGCAGTTCACAGAAAGGGGGTCTTCCTGCTTGTGCAAGTGTGATGCAGCGGTGATGAGGGGAAGTCCTTTCTGCTGCAGTAAAGCTGTGGCTGGTTTTAGCATCCGCTGGATGCAGGCCCCAGGTCAGGGTCCCTGCTGCTCCTGGGCACGGCTGCTGCCTGCTTTGGGTCTGTGGGAGGGTGCACCTGGACCCTCTAGTCTAGAGGAAGGCGTTTCAGCCGCACCCCGCCCCCGCGATCCGTGGGCCACCTTTCCAGCTCCTGCCTGCATTCCGCTCAGGCCAGGATGCGTCCGCCCTGGGCGTGCTGAGATGGGGGAGGACACGGTTCCATCTCGGCCCCTTCTGCTTCCCACAGCGATGCTGCTGCTCAGCGGGGCGCTGGTCAGCGGGCCCTACGCGCTCATCACCACCGCCGTCTCCGCCGACCTGGTGAGTGGACTGCGGGGAAACGCTGGCGCCACAGTCTCCCCACCTGAGACAGGCACCAGCTCCGCGAGTAAAACCCTGTGCTTGTGCAAGCACCTCTCTGGAAGACAGCCTGACTGTGGCCTCCAGAGTCTCCCCACCCGTCCCGCTCCCACCCTTCTCGCACGGTCGTGGGCAGCTGGCCCGAGAGGCCCGCCGTGCAGAGCCACAGAGGCCCCTCTGTCTCGTCATCTCGGCTCCTTCTCCCTCCCAGGAGAGGCAGAGTCCCCCGAGGGGTCAGCAGAGGGAACTCGGGGAGGGGCTTTTCTCATCTCCATGTCCCCAAAGCAGAGCAGCGGCAGAGCAGCGGCAGACCGCCTCTGTGTGGGGCAGGCACGTCCTTGGGGGGCATGGAAAGTTCTGGACAGATCCACACCAGGCCCTTAACAGCGGTCAGCCCTCATGAGCTGGAGGTAGAGAAGGGACTTTCGCTTCATTTTGAGACTCCAGAAATGGCAGATTACGGCTGATTGTCATAGTGTGTGTATTTTATATTATATACGTATCACATACACACACGCACTTAATTTTTCCAGCTCTGGTTTATTTTTATAGTTTTAGGCTTCCAGGCGCTCCTTTTCCTGATTTTTTCCCCTTTCATTGTCCTCCAGTTGTGTTTTCTTCCTCCAGCCTCACCTATGCAGGCGGAGCTCCTGTGGGCAGGACTTGCTCCCCTGCCACCCGCCTAGGTTTCTTGGGTTCTCCGCACGCCCCCTCCCCTGGCGCTGCTGCTAAGCAGTTGGTTGTGGATGCTGCATGGACGTCTGGCCCCGCGTTGAGGGGCACAGCGGCTGTTCGCTGCTCACTGGCACGGCGTAGGGACAGGGACGTGTGTCCTCCACCTTCTCACCCTTCACACCGCCGTGCGGTGCCTCCGTGAAGGCTGTGACTGTGCCGACAAATATTTATCTGAGGACAATCCGAAGAGTTCTTTTAACTAGAACGTGCTTGGACATGCATTTCTGATAACTTTTGACTCTTAGAAACCCTTGAAACTTTGCCTGCCTTGGAGTGAAGTTTAAACTTCCCCTGGAAAACACCCCCGTGGAACTGTTCTGCAGAGCGGTCGGAGCGCCTTGCCACGTGGGGGCACAGGTCCGTGTCTCACTTCCTGCGCTGCTGGGACCGGCTCACGTTGGCCTTTCCCTCTCTCCTAGGGGACTCACAAGAGCCTGAAAGGGAACGCCCACGCCCTGTCCACTGTGACCGCCATCATCGACGGGACCGGGTCTGTAGGTGCGCAGAGACACCTGGCGCCGGGGTCTGGGGAAACCCGTAGTCACGTCCCACCCAACAGGTGCCCGGGTTCCCAGTCGCCTTGGTAACGCCAGGATCGGCTGGCCCCTGAACCGTGAGCAGATCCGCAGGGACACTGGAGCCAGCTGTCCAGTGCAGTCGGGTGGCGCCAGAGGGAGGGCATGCGTGAAAGGAGGCGTGTCCCGGCTCAGTCTGAGCAGCAGCTGGCAGACTGCAGCCACGGGCCACATCTGGTCCACTGGCTGTCACTGTCGTTTCAGAAAGGACAGAATCTTACTAAATCTAAATCATAGGAAAACTAGCGGGTCCAGAAACACAGGATTCTGAATGTCACCCGCCTCGTTGAGGTTCCTGAGGAGACTTCTGGGGAAAAGAAAGGCGGTAAAATAAGCAGCTCAGCCCAGGTGCAGACAGGCGGAGTCGGTGACAGGCTGAGCCGCCTCTTGTCCGCAGTCAGCGGCTGGCAGCAACAGCCGGGGCCGTCCTTGAGCCTGCATGCAAGTGGCCACCCCTGCCCAGCAAAGGCCAGGGCGCTGCTGCCCCAGGCGCTGGTGGCCACACAGCCCTGCCAGGAGCGAGGTGCCTTGATCGCCCTTTCCTGTGTGTGGGAGGCCAGGCTCAGGAGGCGGCCTGGTGCGGCTGCCACAGCTGGTCAGGAGGGCCATGGGCAGCAGCCTGGCGTGTCACCCACTACCCAGGCTCAAACCCAGGGGACGGAGCAAGAGAGGGCCGGCAGGTGGCAGGGACTGGGGGTCCCACGGCAGGAAAGGAGAGCGTGTGCCGGACGAAGACAGCTCGGGAAGCAGCTCAGCCAGAGCCCAGCACTGGGGCTTCCTGCTGCCCGCATGGGAAGCCAGCATTCTCCTCCTGTCCGGCCCCACGGCCGCGGTGCTGGCCGGGTGGGAGGCATCAGAGCATGTTTCTGGGCCCCCACTGCCATCTCCTTAGTGCAGAGTCCAACGTCCTTCCCACCACACGGCCTCTCTGCTGCTCCTCGACACCAGCCGGCCCTCGCAGGGCTGCGCAGGGCTGGCCCCGTCCCTGAGAAGGTCCCCCGCCGGCAGCGTCAGGCCACACTCGCTCCCGCCCTCAGAGGCTTTGCTCAGATGCCGTCCTCTCGGTGAGACCCTCTCGGGCCAGCCCGGTGAGAACGTGTGTGCCCTGTGAGCCCTCCTCGCCGGACCCCAGCCCTCTCCTGAGGCCGTTCTTGTGCAGAGCACGTCCAGTTCCAAAACAGCGCACAGCCGACTCCTCTGCTCTGTGCCGCCGGTCGCCCTCCGCTCGGTGGGAGCTGCTCGAGGACAGGACTTTGCTTTGCTCTCTGCCGTAGCCCCGGGGAGCCCGATGCACTGGCTGGGCCCAGACAGCGGGAGTCGCAGGCAGGGCCCTGCGGCCAGGCTCACGGGAGGAGCGGGCTCAGAGAGGCCCATCCCGGTGCAGGAAGCCCAGCCCCACGCCCTCGCCCCGTTTCCAAGGCTCCACGTGATGGACCCGCCAGTTCCTAGAAGCGCTGGGCAAGGCCACTGTTGTCCAGAAAGCTGGGCTTGGCCTTCGCTGCTCGCGGGAGTAGGACCAGCCCCGTTTTTGTCCTTAATGTTGGTCCCTTCTTTTGTTGGATGTGTTGGGTGGTGGTGGTGGTCACCCCTCTGCTGTGCCTTTTCGGGGCTCCTCTTGGCGCCTAGGGGCATGACCAGGGAAAGAGAGGGAGGGGCTGAGGTGCGGTGCCTGGGGACCCTGCGCGGAGTGGGCCAAGTCCCCACTCACGTAGCGCGAGGAACTTTGGCCTGGAGAACACACCCAGCGGCCAGGCGGGAGAGCTGGGCTGAGCTCGGTCCTAGTGGACCCTGGGATGAGCGGCCGTCCTCGGCCCTCTGTCCAGGAGGCCTTTGTGAGTCATCTGACTCCCACCGGGAAGCTCCCTCACAGCTGACCTGGAGCTCTGTGGGAGGCCCTCGTTGCTATTTTAAAGCAGAGAATAGGAGGGGAATTAGGTTTAAAAAAAAAACCCACATTTTTCTTTACATTTTGCTCAAATTGAGAGGGAAGCAGAAGCCTGTGGCTGAGAGTGGGGACGCTGTGTCTTTGAACGGAGGGCCATTGGCCACTGCCTCCAAAATGTCTTTGCCCGGCCCATGAGGAAGGCAGCGTCTGGCTGGGACCGTGTGACCGTGTGACCGTGGGCGGGGCAGCTGCAGCCACCTTGGTTTCTGCAGTACTTACATGGGGGCAGGGGTGTGATTGTGATGGGGCGACCTCGCCAGGCTGTGCCAGCCATCCGGCCACTCTGCCCACCAGCGAATGGTCGCCATGGAAACACCATGCATGTGTCCACCACTGCATCCCAGCAGTTATTTCTGCCACGAGTACTGCCCAAGCAGAGGCAAAAAAAAGACCCCAGTGGCAAGGCACACCATCGCAGGTCCTGGTGTGCTTGCTCGGTGCTCACATCCGTAGTTGGCGCGGGCGTGGGCGGAGGCAAAGCCTGGCTAGTGGGAAGGCAGCCAGCCCTTCCTGCAGAGCGCAGGTGCCACGCAGCTCAAAGGGCTCGAGTCTGTGTGTCCGGCGGGTTCGCGGTGCTCGGACTCGCCTGCGGGAGGGACGCAGGTCTCGCCATTTCTATGCGTTTTATGCAGAGCAATTAAACGTAGCCCTGCATTTTCCAAGTTAATCTCTGTCTTTTCAAAGTAAAGCATAATGTATCCTTAGAAGCCAGGTGGTCCTACCAGGAGCTTATGGTGCAAAATGGCACTCCCGCCCCGCCCCGCGGCCGCTCTGGCTAGAAGCAGTCAGTTTCAGCAAGTTCCTTGCATCTCACCGTGTGCCCGCTAGATCCCAATCCATCAGTTTGGACCTTACCTGCTGTCCTCCTGTGGCAAGACGAGACTGGGCTCCTCTACCCCCGCTTTCCCTGCCCTCCTCCTCCCCGGTGGTGCTTTGCTAATGATGGTCACATCCCAAGGAACAAACTTCCATTACACATCCTTGGGATACACACACCTTCATTTTATCCCTGAGCTAACAGTGCCTCTTCTTTCCCTTTTGTTTGAGTTTCCTGCACGGCTGTTCCCACCCTCGGCACCACCACCAGGTTCCGCTCATCTCGCCCTCCCGCCGGGGCCTCCCACCACCTGCTGCACGGCTCTTACGGGGGGACTCTGTCACCACCGTCCCACCGTCCCATTTCCTGCCTGCATGGGAGGCTGGTTTCTAGATGCCTGTGTGCTACTCTTCTGTGCTGGACAGATAGATATTCTAGCAGCTTCCTGAGCTCAGGGGGTGAATTCTGAGAGCTGCAGGTCCCTCACTCGAGGCAGTTTGGAGTCCCAGCATCCCTGGATCCCACTGCCATCACGAGAAGTCGCTCTTGCCTCGTCCTTCACTGCTGGCCTTTTCCCTTCTCTCTGGGAGGCCTGCAGGGTCCCTCCTGTGTCCCTGGAGCCTTCCTTCATCCACGTGCCCTGGCACCTGCCCGGACTGGAAACTCCTGCCCTTCACTTGGGGCTCGGGCTCTATTATTGCTTTGATAACATTTTCCTACCTTTTTCTATTTTTTTTTTTCTGGAAAACTTATTAGTCAGATGTTGGACTTTCTGGATTAATCCTTCAATTTTCTTTTCTTTCTTTTGTTCTCTTCCTGCCTGTCTCCTTGTTCTTCTGTTTCCTCCGAGATGTTCTTGTCTTTATTCTCCACCTCTGTATTGACCTTCTTACTGTTCCCGTTGTGTTTTCAGTGGTCATTGATGTTTTTCTGACCTTTTCGTGCATCCTGTCTTGCCTCTTGGGCACACTGTGTGTGAGACGGAAGTGTGCATAGTTGCTGGTGATGCACGTTTTCAGCTACAAAACTGAGAGTGTCACTTGGTTCAACCTAATCTCTACTGGCTCGCTGAGGCATTGTAATTTCCTGGGAATCTTCTCCCCCGTGTGCTAACTTCGTCTAGGTTCTCCCCCTCTCCCCGTTGGCTTCCACGTGGAGACACTCCTCAGACCCAGGGTGAACCTCGCCGTCCCTCCGTAGGCTCACACTTAAGAACAAGCCACTGAGTCGTTACCTGAAGTCCTATGCCCACAGGAGAGCGTGCGGACTGCTGGCCTTCCCGTGGTGGGTGCAGCTGGGAGCTGGGGGCCACCTTCACCTGCAGTGCCCGAGGGGAGTGTGGCCCTGCAACTGCCCTCTTGTCATTGTGGGGCCGGAGCAGCTGCTGGGTGGCAGCTGGTGTCTTTCCCTGGGTCCCCTCTCCTCACCCCTGCCCTTGGCTTGGTGTCACTAAAGGTTAAATTCTCCAAAGGTTAGGCTGCTGCTGTCCTTTGGGTGGGGTGGGGTGGCGTGGGTGGAGGGGTTCGGGGTGGAGGGTGGTGGCTGGAGTCACTGGATCAGTGAGGGCCGGGAGAGTCCTGGGACCGGAGGAGGGATAGAGGGACGTACCTAGCAGTGTGTTATAAAAGATTGAGCCAAGGCCCCTTTTTCTTCTGCCACCGCCTCCCTTCTGCTCTCCCCTCCCCTGCCTCGTGTGCGTGGCTGGGCCCGGCTCTGCTCCAGGCGTCCTTGTGCCATCTCCCTCCTGGGACGGGAGCCCAGCAGGGAGCAGTGGAGCCTGTGTCGGTCGTCAGCCCTTTTAAGTCCATCTTCCAGAAGCATGCGCCTTCTCTCATCTGTACTTGTCTCTGTGATTTACCATTTTAAAAATGCGATTATGGTCCATTTCGTGGTGTGTGGGAGGTGTGGGGATAACACACAGGAACAGTCTGCCATGGGTTTGGGTTTTTTTTTTTTTTTTTTTTTGAGACAGAGTCTCACTCTGTCGCCTAGGCTAGAGTGCCGTGGCGTCAGCCTAGCTCACAGCAACCTCAAACTCTGGGCTCAAGCGATCCTCCTGCCTCAGCCTTCCGAGTAGGTGGGACTACAGGCATGCGCCACCATGCCCAGCTGATTTTTTCTCTATATATTTTTAGTTGGCCAATTAATTTATTTCTATTTTTAGTAGAGACAGGGTCTCACTCCTGCTCAGGCTGGTTTCGAACTCCTGACCTTGAGTGATCCTCCTGCCTCGGCCTCCCAGAGTGCTGGGATTACAGGCATGAGCCACCGTGCCCGGCATACCATGTTTATCTGGAAGTTCTTCTGAGAATTAAAAAAAATACTTACAGGTGCTTCTCAGACTATGAGACTGGTGAGTGTGCTTTGTAAGCAAAATCAGTACAGAGTATGAAAGACCCTACTAAGCCCACCTCTCAGAGATTAAATTGCAGTTAATAACTTGGTGACAATTCTTTGTGCTTTTTACCGCATATTTATTAATTCCAAAACAAGCCAGCCTACACGTGTATCAGAATTTATTCCGATCCGTCTTAGGTAAATATACCAAACTCCTGCAACAAACATTTTTATACAGCTGTCTTTGGGCATTTGGGGAGATACTTGCTTTCTTTTGTTTTTATAGTTTTTAAAAATTATTTTGACATAATTTCAGACTTGGCAGAAAAGTTGCAAACCTAGTACAAAGAATTCACAGGCAGTTTAGTTCATGTACCTGTCATGTATTTTACACATACATATGTGTACTTATGCGTGTTTTCTGAGCCACTCGAGAGTGAAATGCAGACATGCTGCCCTTTTACTTTTAACTATTCGGTATGTGCTCCCGAAAACATTCCCTGATGGGACCACAGTGCAAGGGTGGGAATCAGGAAGTGAACGTGGATAGAGTTGTAGTAGTAGTATCTACAAATCCTATCCAAATTTTTCCCAGTCACATTTTTTATAGCACAAAGATATCTAAGATTGTGCATTGGATTCAGATTTCTTTACAATTCCTTTAAAATAATAGGAGTATTGGACCAAAACAGTGAGCATTTCAAACGTCAACACACGTTTTTAGGGTTGGTTCCAGAAAAAGGCTGTGCCAACTACACCCCCAGCCTGAGTAGTACCGGGTCCTGCTCAGTGTCCTCTACTGAAATGCTTGGGCACAGAAGTGTTTGAGATTTCAGATTTTTTTTCCTTTTTTGATTTTGGAATATTTGCATCATAGCAGTTGAGGATCCCAAATCCAAAAATCCAGAGTCCGAAATGCTCCAGTGAGCACTTCCTTTGAGTGCCATGCCAGTACTCAAGAAGTTCCCGGTTTGGGAGCATTTGGGATATTTGGATTTAGGATGCTCAACCTACGTTCAGCTTTTTACCCCTTACCAATCTGATAGGCAAAATGAGGTAGTGTTGTTTTGTGTGTTTTTCTTTAATTATGAGCCAGACGTTGAGCACCATTCTGTGCATTTATTAAACCGGCATTTGCCAGAGTTTCCCTGAACGCGCCGCGCGTGTCCGTTTGCCTCGTTTCAGGAGCGGCCCTGGGCCCCCTGCTGGCCGGGCTCATATCCCCCTCGGGATGGAGCAACGTGTTCTACATGCTGATGTTCGCAGACGCCTGTGCCTTACTGGTGAGTCTTCTCGTTTTCAACCCAAGCCTCCTTTCCTGAGCATCTCTGTGGTTGTTGGCCAAAGACTGGCAGACTTTTTCCTGTGGATTCCTGCAGTTCTCAGAGAGGCTTGGGTCTTCCTGTCTTTCCCAAATATACCTAGTCCAAGGCCTTTTCTCTCTCTAGTTAAAAAAAGAAAAGAAAAAGATCAGAAGCAGATCAGCCAGTTGCTCCGTAGTTTCAGACAGGATGGGACAACGGCCAAGCGCATGGAGCTCTGTTCTGTGGCTCTGGGTCCCCCCGTCACCTGTCGTGTGGGCCCTGTGTCAGGGTTTTTTCAGGACGGGGAAGACCAGTGCTGATGTGACAGTCACACACGTGACTCCTGCAGGGTGGCTGTCATGTGCTTGCCCTTACAAGTCACCTCGTGCAGAGTCCCCAGACCCTGAAGCCGTGCCTCTGCTCTTGCTTCGCCAGAACAAACCTGAGGTTGGCTCCAGTAAAAATGAGTTGAGAATTTTAGAGATATCGACTCCACCAATTAAGTGAAAGTCTTACATTTTAATTCCAGGACCTCTAAAACACAGCTTCCCCTACTGCATACAGAATCAAATACCAACGCTCAGCTTAGGAACTCCGTAGGATGAAATGGCTGTTCTTCAGATCATTTCGCTCTTTTTAAATGCATGGGGGCATTAGTTAAGTCTCCAGATGTATTTCCACTAAGTAGCAGTAAAATTTCTGTTATTACGACTATATAGAGAATCTGAAAACTCTTCTACTTCAGCAATACCAGGTAATTCGTATTGAACATTGTTTTAGATGCATAGCCGAACTCCTAAGACAGTAACGGAGTTCCCCAGGAGCCAGCAATGTGGAGGCAACATGAGACACACAAGCTGAGATAGGGCAGGGCAGGGCTGAGTTGCCAACCCCAGGAACCGGGGCCGGGTGGCCGTGCCCATGCCGAATGAGAGACGAGGCGTTAGGCTGGCACAGGATGGGGAGTTGGAGCCTGAGACTTCCTCCTACGCCACGACCCTCACAGGCTGTGCTCGCAGTGCGAGTGTGCCAGAGGGCCCGGCAAGACGGCAGGGTTCAGTGCCCGTCTCAGCCTGCTCACCACACTGGGTGGGCGGGGAATTCCCTGAGAGTTTTTAGCCATAGACCTGCCCACGGCAAGCTTATTTTTGAACTTATGTAAATACCAAAAATAGATAAATAAAATTGGTCCTTGGACAGCGATATACCTGGTTATTAGGTGAAAGTAAGCAGGGACAGTCTCGACCCCGCGGCAGGAGGCTCCTGCGGCTGACGCCCTGGGGGAGGTGAGCACACAGTCCAACACCGTGACCACAAGGAAGCAGTCCACTCTGAATGACGGGAACAGACGCAGCACGCAGCAGAATTGGACCCCCAAAACCTACAGATAAACGTTCCCAAATAAACTAAAAATAAATAGATTCAACATTACTGAAGATATAAAAGAAGGAACTGCACTCATGAAAAAAGAGCAAACAGAAGTTCGAGAAATGAAAAATGTGGTGTTTATCTGGGAAAAAATTCAGTGAATGGGTTAGAAAAAAAAAATAAAATACAGCTGATGATAAGATTACTGAAGTAGAATATAGATATGAGGAAATTATCCAAAAAGAGAAAGAGATGAAAAATATTAAAGAGAAATTAAACATAAAATGGAGAACCAAATGAGTTGGCCTAATAATATCTACTAGGAATTTCAGAAGAAGGGAATGGATTGGTATTGAAGCAATATTTGAAGAGACAATAGCTGAGACTTTTCTAGTCTAGAAAGACTCATTCTTAGATTCAGGAAATCAAACAACTTAGAATTCTATACTGAGCTAATCTTGCATTTTTTTTTTTTTGAGACATAATCTCGCTTTGTTGCCCAGGCTACAGTGAATGCCATGGCATCAGCCTAGCTCACAGCAACCTCAAACTCCTGGGCTCAAGCAATCCTCCTGCCTCAGCCTCCCGAGTAGCTGGGACTACAGGCATGCACCACCATGCCCGGCTAATTTTTTCTAAATATATTAGTTGGCCAATTAATTTCTTTCTATTTATAGTAGAGATGGGGTCTCGCTCTTGCTCAGGCCGGTTTCGAACTCCTGACCTCGGGCAATCCGCCCACCTCAGCCTCCCAGAGTGCTAGGATTATAGGCATGAGCCACCGCGCCTGGCCCTAAACTTGCATTTAAGAGTCAGGGTGAAGTGAGAACATTTTTAACCAAAGATGCTCTCCCAAAAAGTTGTTAAAGGATGTGTTTAAAGAAGAAAGAAGTTAGATCCAGAAGGAAAGTCTGAGATGCCAGGAGAAATGTGAGCAAAACAGGTGATATTCCTAAGGATGAATCTAAGTGAGTATTGACTATGTAACACGGGTCAGCCACCTGTGGCCTAAATCTAGCCTGTTGTCTGTTTTTGTATGATCCTCAAGTCAAGAATGGTTACATGTTTGCAGAATTATTTTTTAAAAAATCAACAAAGAAGAATATGCAGCAGAGACCATATGGCTGCAAAGCCTGAAGGACCGTTACAGAAAAGGCTTGACTCCTGGTTTAAACAACAGCAACGACTAATCTGGGCAATATAAAAAAGAACTTTCCAAATGCTAGACAACCAAAACATAAGGCACAAGTGGGACAGTCAGTCGCAGCACTCTGCGGTTCTCGTCTTGTCGGCAGAAACAGAGCGTGGGACTTTCACCGCAGTGTGGGGAAGGGAAGACTCGATCAATCCCGGAGAACCTGGGGCGGGAGGGAGCGGCTGCAGGCTGGGGAAAGCAGGGCAAATGCGAGACACGGAGCGAGACGGATGGAAATGATCCCGGCTTACCAGTAACCACGGTAACTATAGATGGTCTAGATTCACCGGTTAAGAGCAGAGATTGTCAGGCCGGCTTTAAAAATCCAGACTCCGATTATTTACAAGAGACACACCTGACACATAAGGATTCAGAAGGAAAATTCACAACAGGTGAGTAATAACCAGAGGAGGCTGGCCTGGCCGTGTTGGAGGAGAGAGACGTAAAACCCAGCAACGTGGGGAAGCCCTTCTGTGGGCTGATGTCATGCTTGAGGAAAGACCAGATCCACACTTGAAAATGCAAAAACGTTAGTTAAATTCGGCGTGCCCTGGACCATGATTTGTAAGCTGAGCCCTTTGACGTGTAAAGGGCGAGAAGTGAAGGCCTCGGGTCAGCAGGGCCGGGACGAAGGCAGTGCCGCCGGGAAGGCGCGGCTCGGCGCGCTGGTCCCGGGAGGGCGGGCCTCCAGGGCTCCCGGAGAGACCGGCTGTGCCAGGGCAGCCCCGGACTCACCTGAGCAGCTCGCACGGCCTCCCCCAAGGCCACCTGGATTGTGAGTCACCTTGTGTTCATTTTCTGTCTTTGTCCAGTTTGGACATTTATGATCGGACTAATTTTATTTTAGATGTGACTGGAACCTAGAAGCATTTCAGGCGGAGATGTGTCGCAAAAGCCTTGTTTTCAGGAGCACGTGCGGACCGAGCCCTCAGGCCGCGGGAACTGGCCGGGCCGCTGCTCCTGCCAGGGGGGCCGCCTGGCAGGTGCTGCGGGAGCCACCAGCCCAGGCCCCACGGCGACCACAGCGTGCGCCTGCTGTCCGCTCGGTCCCCACCAGCAGTAACCGGCGGGCTTGTCTTTGTTTTGGGTACAGTTCCTGATCCGCCTCATACACAAGGAGCTGAGCTGCCCGGGGTCAGCGGCGGGGGACCAAGTTCCGTAAGTCCCCACGCGGGCCTCTGCAGAGCGCCCTTCCCTGAAGGAGGAAGGGACTCACTGCTTGTCCTTTCAGGGCACGCCTCCTCACTCTCGATTTTTCTTTTCTAATAAATGCCTCTGTGTGGATATGACGGTGGTAATCTCGTCTCAAAATTGGACTGGAAAGTGCTAGGGAAATTGCCTCCTTTGTCATCGCTTTGCGCTGCAGCTCCCAGAGCTCTGCTCGCTCTCCCTGCCCTCCGGGTCCCCTCCCTCACTCCCTCCTCTCCCTCCTCCTTGCTCCCCTCCTTCCCTCCTCCCTGGCTCTCCCTGCCCTCCGGGTCCCCTCCCTCACTCCCTCCTCTCCCTCCTCCTTGGTCCCCTCCTTCCCTCCTCCCTGGCTCTCCCTGCCCTCCCTGGTCCCCTCCCTCCCTCCTCCCTCACTCCTCCTTGGTCCTTCCCTCCCTCCCTCCTTGGTCCCCTCCCTCCCTCCTCTCCCTCCTCCTTGGTCCCCTCCTTCCCTCCTCCCTGGCTCTCCCTGCCCTCCCTGGTCCCCTCCCTCCCTCCCTCCTCTCCCTCCTCCTTGGCCTCCTCCTTCCCTCCTCCCTGGCTCTCCCTGCCCTCCCTCCTCCCTGGCCCTCCCTCCTCCCTGGCTGTCTCTCCTCCCTGACCGCCATGAGTTTATGGGTGGTAGGGGGCCTTTTCTGCCTTCCAGTTCCCTGCAGGGGAAGACCCTCTGGTGCAGGGGGAGAGGCTGCTGGCCCTCCGTGGGGTTGCTGGTCGTGGATGAGCTGTTGGACCCGCTGAGTTCTGTCCTGTCTTCCAGGTTCAAGGAGCAGTGACCACTCACGTCCCACGGGGGGAGTCTGGGCTCGTCCTCCACAAACTGCCATTCAAGGAAAGTCCAAATAAAGGATCCTGTGTTGACAAGAACGGTTTACTCTTGCCTTTTGCACACGCACCTGGAAAAGACACAAAGCCAACCCGAGAATTCCCGGTACTATTTTAAACAAGACGGGGCCAGAGCAGGCTGAGGAGGTCCATGGGAGCCGCTGTCCAGCCGCCCGCCTGAGCGGAGAAAGGTGACCCAGCCGGACGAAGGCCGCGACGGCGTGTGCCCATGCGGCCACCCGGATGCACGTGTGCCAGCGACGTAGGGCAGACAGGTGACACCCAGACACCCAGGCCGGCTCCGTCTCGCTCAGGGACTCCAGCAACGGAGCGCTCCAGTGTGTGAGCTCTGGGCTCCGTGCCGTCGTTTCCGGAGAACCTGAGCGCGCCATGTGAGAACGCAGGGCACTGGGACGTTGGAGCGCACGCGGCCAGCGGGGGCCGGCCTCCACGTGCCGTCAGGAAGCCGGACAGCCGGGTCAGAAACCAAGACCGCACTCGGACCCAAAACGTCACCCCCGAGATTTTTCCAGCACTTTCCGTATCCTGTACTGACTTCAGCACTAATTGTCTGGTAACAAATGGCAGCGGAGCAATACACCTGCCTACGGACGGGGCACCGGGAGTGCCAGCCCCAGGGCACGCCGTGGCCCCTGTCCCCCAGCTCCTGGGAGTCCTGCAGCCCTCCAGGCCGCGCCTGCGGGGAGTGGCGGGTCACGAGCCCACAGTGGAGCCGCTCCAGCACACGCACAAACACCGGGGACCTCGTCTAGATTCAGAGCAGCAGAGCAGATTATTTATTTAAAATGCATAATGTGTTACATGAAGTTTAAGGAATATAAATGGCATTTTGTTATTTATTAAGACAAATTCCAATTGTTCTCTGGCCGTTTTTCTCAGTTGTGTCTCGCAAAATACTTATCTGCCCTTTGAAATAAAATGGTTTTTCAAAAACACTCAAGCAGGGCTCTCAGAGAACGTCAGTTATTTCTGCTCACATTTCCATCGTGCTGAACAAAGGAAACTTGCAAACAGAGGTGACTGGGGTTCTTCTCAGGCCTGGCGCGTCCGGGGTCTGGCAGCTGGAGGCTCACCCTCCGGCAGGGGCGGCCCCTCCCCCGCACGGCAGCCAAGCCCAGTCTGGGTGTTCCGTGGCCGGGCGACGCCGCGGCGTGGGCAGCGGGCAGGCGGGCGCTGCGCCTGGCGTGGCTGGTGGGGCCAGGCCCCCAGGCTTTCTGAGGGCAGAGATGGCCGGAGTCCGAGTGCTGTGGGCTTTCTCAGAGCTGCGCTGCTGTGTGTCCTCCAAGCCGGCCCAGACGGGGCCCCTTCCCGCAGCAGGGCTGGGGTCGGAACGCACCCCCGGCGCGTCCAGGTTCTCGGGGGCCTCGCCTCGGGGCCTCTGCCCGCCGTCCTCACCAGATGGGCTTCCTTTGTTTTTTAGAGACAAGTTATTTACACATTTAAATTTTTTTCTACCACTAAACATGCAGTTCCATAAACACTAATCGGCCGTCTGTGTTCCCCACACATATATCTCCCTCAGCTCTTTTTCCTCCTCTTTCCACCTCCTTTCCTTCCTTGGGGGCCACACTCTGGGGGAGCCGCCTCTCCTCCTTCCCTCCCTGACCCGGCGGCGGCAAGCACCAGCCCAGGCCCCCGCCCTGGAGCCGCAGTGGCCGGGCCGTCCTCGCCCCTGCGGCTGCCGCCCTCGCCCCTGCGGCCGCCGTCCCCATGCTCACTGTGCGGCTGCCGCCCTCGCCCCTGCGGCCGCCGTCCCCATGCTCGCTGTGCGGCTGCCGCCCTCGCCCCTGCGGCTGCCGTCCCCATGCTCGCTGTGCAGCATGTCTTTCTTTCGGTTTTACAGTAAACTGGATAACGGAAGCAGAAGGGGGACAAGGCAGAAAGAAATGCCGCTCGGTAGTGCACAGGGGACTTTTGCACACACGTCTTTGGAGCTCCCTGCTCCCTGCCTCCCAGAGCTGCTCCCTGGGGCCTTGTCCAGTCGGGGCCCAGGGAGATGGTCCCGGGCGCACCCCCACCCCGTGGCCCCCGCCACGCGTTCAGCAGCAGCCTGTGGCGGTGACTGTCACTTTCCCAACTCAGCGACCCAAACTATTAGAAGAAAATCTCTCACAACCCACAAAGTCAGAGAAGTTTCACATCTCGGAAGCTTCTAAGCTCAACACGGATCATGCCTTTTGGAACGGATGGCCAATCTTTCTGAAAACGAGGATACACGCAGCTTATTTTGTAAGCAGTTTAGCTGAAACACATTCTCAATTCTTGAGTGGAGGATTTCATCCTGACGTTGAAGGGAAAAGTGCATCATTCCATTATTAAAGCACAGCCTCACTTCACCCGGCGGTGGCCGAGGTCACGTCCGTCCGCAGATGGCCGGCGCTGACGCACGCACAGTTGCCTTCACCCGGAAACACAGCTGTGCCCGGCGGGGACACACACAGAGTCGCTAACTTTACCGGTCAAGTGGGCAAGAAACGCCAGCATGAGGGAAATGCAAGCTCGTGACAGGTGGGCGAAGGAGGCCCAGGCGGGACCCCGGCCCTCCAGTCCCACAGGCAGGAAAGACCACGGCTGGACGCCGCCTCCTACACAGCACCTCAAAGAGCTGCCGGGAGGTGTCACAGTGCCCTGTGGCTTTTGTAATGTAAGTCGCACTGAGACTGCCCGTGGGAGGGGCCAGAGCCAGCCTTCCAGTTCCAGCTTCTGAAATCAGAGAAAGCTGTTAATAAATTGCTCCAAAAAATGAACTAAAAAAGATACGAGCCCAAAGTGTTTATTGTTAGACTCAGCAGAGGAGAACTGCTCTGCTGAGTAGCCGTGAGTGGTTGTAGATGCTCCAGCCGCTGCTCTGGTCACCGAGGGCTGCGGCTGCCCCGCAGGGCACAGCTGCTCTGGTCACCGAGGGCCACGGCTGCCCCGCAGGGCACAGATGGCACAGGTGACAGGCGGGTGCAAGGGGCCTGTGTGGCCCTGGGGATGCCCAGGATGGTGGGGCTGCGTTTAGCGGGGAGAGAGGAGCCCGCACTGTGCCCCACAGCCTGGCCTCTGGGCAATCTGGGCCATTCGGGCGCCGGGCTGGGAAGCGCAGGCTGGGCCCAGGGCCTGGAAAAGGTGGGGCCCTGTTCAAAGAGCAGAAGAAAGTGCGTTAAAGGTGCCAAAATATAAACACTTTCTCTTCCTTGGCTGTCTCTCCCCACCTGACATGATGTTTTTCTGCTGCTCAGGTTGTGCTCCCTCGGGCCTCGGGACACCCACGTGCAGCCACTCGCAGGCGCCTGGCTCTGTCCCCAGCCATCGAGCCCAGGTGTGGCACTGCCTAGGCAGGGACATCCGCTGAGCCTCACCCGGGACACTGCAGGCAGCAAGCCTGGCCCCGACCGTACCTGTCCTCCTCGGGCCACCCTGGAGGCACAGGGCTCCTCAGTCCCCCCACGTGCACCACCCACTAGTCGCTTCCCCGGGGAGGGGGGAGGAGAAAGAGGGAGGCTGGGGGGTGCACCAAGGTGGGGGTGAAGCCGAGGCCCCCGGGGAGGCGGGGGAGTCAGCATTGCACAGGGGCCGAGGCTCCAGCCCCACGGTGCCAGCTCCAACGTCCCCTGGATGTCCCTCACAAACCACAGGTGCAAAGATGGCACCGCTCAGAATTTCATCCCTGGGGCCCGTGTCCCAGTCCTGCTGCCCCAAAGAACACACTCCACCCAGGACTGAAACAGGGGCCGGGCCTGGCTGAGAGCCCCCTTTCCCAGCGGGGCCCCCACTAGCTGGGCTAGCTGTCCGTGCGGGCGCCTTTGTGCTGTGCTCCAACAGTCCTGCCCCCGGAACTGGCACATGCCACCCTCCACAAGCTGGGCCATCTGGTGCCATCTGGTCCAAGGACATCTGAAGGACACAGCCCTGGGCCAGGTGCTCGTTCTGGAGCTGCTCATGTCTGCCGTGGTTCTACGCGTCAACTTGGCCAGGCTCTAGCACCCGAGCGTTCAACTGAACATGAATTTTGCCCTTGCTGTGAAGGTATTTAATAAATGTGCTCAACATCTTCCATCTGTGGCTTTAAGTAAAGGAGATTCGCCTCCTTTACCCCCTGGGTGGGCCTGGTTCAAGCAGTCAGAAGGCCCTTAGAGCAAAACCAAGGTTTCCCCGAGGAAGGAGAAATTCCACCTGCGGACTCAGCCTCGCTCCAGCCTGGGAGCTGCCCGCTGCCGTCCCCCTGCCGAGCCCAGGCTTGCCTGGCCGGCCCACAGTCGCAGAAGCCAGTTCCCTGAAATAAACTCCGTGCGCGTGCCTGTGTGTGTGTGTGTGTGTGTGTGTGTGTGTGTGCGCGTGCACACGTGTGAGGTCACCCGCTGGTTCTGTTTCTCTGGTGGAGCCCTGACTCTGCCTGTCTGCATTGTCCACATGTTGTAGATGGGCACGTCTTATTTTTATAATCGGAAGTAACGCAGTTAGTTTTACAAGTTGGGGACGACACCAGAAAGCGAACACTCTGTGCCAGGGGTTGTCACCTCCCGGGCAGGGCAGCGGTTTTGGAGCACAGCTGCCCAAGAGGCGACGCGATGGCGCCTCTCTGCTGGGCCCAGCGTCCTGCCACACCCTTGGTGACGCCAGACGCCACCGCCTCCGGAAGTTCCACCTTCAGCACCCCCACCCTGGGCCCGACCTCATGGAGACACCTCCTGGGTGTCTGACGTCATAAAATCTACCAAATCCAGAGGCAGAGTCCTGCCTTGAAACCTGCTTGTAGAACAGCGTCATTCATTCATTCATTCATTCAGCACACAGAACAAGGACAGGGATACGTTGATGAGCAGGCAAGCCCAGCCTGCCCTCACGGGTCACAGCCAGGCACCGAGCAAGCGAACAGTGTCCCTTCTGACAAGGACGAGTCCTGCAAAGGAACAGGAACAGAAGAGGGCAGGAGGGGTGTTGCTTTATACTGGTGGCCCGTGAGGCAGGGCTGGTGGGGCAGAGAATTCAGTGCACGGTGGGCAGATCAGGGTGGGGTCCGCGAGCACAGGCCATAGAGTATCACCAATTTAACCAGAGTTGGGGTTTTTCCAAAAAGTGGGGCTGTGGGGACAAGGGACCAGACAGGAAGGAGAGGTGGAGAGTGACAGCCCAGAAAACACTGTGCCAATGCTGCTGAAGAGGTAGAGGATGGGAGGGGGACCGAGGACTGACTCGGTGGGGGCTATCTGGGCTGACAGGAGGTGGCAGCCAGTGGGGACCTCAGGACAGAGGTTCTGGGGCGGTGCAGGTATTGCTGCCGGTGATGCAGGCTCTAGCGTGTGACATGATGACAAGGCACTGAGGAGGGGTGCAGCGGGAGGGGAAGCTGGGAAGTTGTTGCATAAGAGAAAATGGGAAGAGTCGGAAACGCAAGGCCAGCAGGAAAGCCACTTCTGGGTAGAAGGGTGACAGGTCCAGTTTGGGTCAAATCACAATTTAAGAGCTGAGAGCAGCTTCAGAGGTCACTTGACAGATAAAGAAACTGAGGCCCACGGTGAAGACCAGACCCAGGGGTCTCGGCCACTGCTGTATGCTTCCCCGAGAGGCAGCCTGTGTCTGCGGCTGCCAGTCCTCCACTGCCAGGACGCGGCGCTTGGTGTTCAGAGAGCTCCTCCAGCCCCCGTGGCAGTGGGGACCCGGCCAAAACGAGGCACGCCGTCCGTGCTCCCTGACCTCAGCCGTCGGCGTAGACCACAGGGCGGGCGCTGGCTGTCGCCGCAATGCCCAGCCAGGGGCTGTGCCTGGGGTGGGGCTCCCCCGCAGCCTCAGGACCTGTGAGCTGCTCCCTGCTCCCGCCTGGGCTCTGAAAGGCTGGTCCCCGATTTGGTTTTGTTCCGTTTCCTACCACCCAGATCCTTAGTGGCCACCAGAGGGCCCCCCAGCCCTGAGCTGGGGAAGGCCCGCCCTCCGAGCACAGATACCTGGAGCTGGGGC